GTTGAGCATTGTCAGATGATAGAATTCTGCGACAATGTACTGGACAGGGGAGTACTGAGTGGGGCACAAATTAACAGTGGAGATCACGGTAACTTGCTGGGCAATGTGTGGTTAGTTAGTACAGATTCACGGCGATACTTCCGGAATTTGGATTGATGGTGAGGTTAAAATTGGGCTTACGTGGTGTTATAAGGGGCGAACCATGAGTGGTTTTTCTTATTGTAGAAGCTGGATTGGGATCCAAAGAACTTTGCCATGCACAACGAATGAGAGACATGCTGCAAGATTTAAGGATACTATTGGGCTTTCTGTCCTAGGAGAAGATCAATACGATGAAATTGTTCCAGCGAGAAGACGGTTCTTGTTATAAGTATAAACGGTAGGGATTTAGGGTAAATTAATCTATATTAAAAACTTTTATTACTACAACTACCTTTCTGAGATTCGCATTGCACCTCGTACGTATTCAATGTCAGTCATTGAAAAAATCAAGCGTCCAATCAATACACAGGTGACCCCGAAAAATTAGGAACCAACTTTTTAAAATGTGAAGAACGCAAGAGCGACTTTCATGTGCATGTACATGCGTTGACTGTATCCGTCAATACAATACTAGTCGAATACGTAGACTTCTACAGGGCCTTCTAAGTAATGCGCGCCGGGTATAATTCAAACCTCTGCCCCCATCGGTACCATTACCCCTAAAGCAAATCGTCTCCAGGAGACGAAATACAACAGAGCATCTTAGACACCGGTATTGCCATGAGCAGGTTAGGTCGACAGCATACCGATACCACTGGCTTGGTGAACGACATGCTGGCAACGATGGTATCCAATCAGGACTACATACATGTGGTACCTAATCTTTTTCAAAACAATATAAAAATGCTACTAGCTACCGGGTGGTAGCTGCAATAGGAGCAGCTACATCGTTACGTTTGACCGGTAGCACCTTGTAATAGAGGGCGGGATTCCCGGCCATGCTAGAGTTCCCGGCCATGCTAGAGTTATAAAGATGTAGGACAAGGCTTGCTGCGGCCAGGAACAAGCAAGCAGCAAGCAAATGTCAGATCTCCTCGAGGCATTGAGAGCATACCATGTATCGTACACTTGTAGTAATCTCCGGGGCTTTCACAGATATCCAGAAGCTAAGGCAGCCATGTCGATTCAGGAGTGGACGAGTCAGGCACCAAGGCCAATACAGTGGTACCGCAATACATGGTAGAACAGGCAGGTGTTTCGAAATACGGTACGCGGGATCAGCGCAAGTAAACTGCTCCTTGCTACTTGTTTGCTTGCTAGGCGGAGGATCAGGCCAGATAGATACATGTAGACAAAGGGATCTTGGATCGAGATGATTAGCGATTCCTATGTTTTGTCTCTTCGTTCATGCCAACACTTCAAGCCGTACTAGTACAGTATTGGTACAATACAGTCGTACGGCGGACGATGCTGCCAGCGGTACCGGTACCATGCAGAGCAACCGCAATAATATTGCGGTTGTACTCCCGTCTAAGGAACGGCCGTTGCAGCATCTTCGCCGTTACAACAATTTTTGTCGACTGCTGGTAAAGTCGTGCGGACGCCTTTGGCGATATGGAAATTTCACACTCAGCAGGGTATATAGACATCTAAAGACACGAAGATCGAAGGAAACCACTTCTTAACCCCCAAGTCCCTTGGATGAAGTAACTCCCACCACTAAACTTGAGTGTTGCCCAACATCCATCGGTGTTGTTGCCAAAGAGAGATACAACGCACCAACAGCATCAAAGGAGTCTCCATTGACAGATTTTTGGCTGTTGTCTCTCCGCGAGCAGACGACCGTTGTTCCGTTGCTACCAATTGCGAGGGGCACCCACCCAACAAAACTCTCCCCGTACCTTCCGATTGCCCTCGGTTGGCACTCCAGAACAAATCCAACCATGAGCACTACGTCGCTGCGACGACGGGGCCAACTGATTCCCTTGGAACCCCCTGTTCCTGGTCAGGAGGAAGCCCATTACGAATTCACGGGTGGCTTTGGCGATGACCCCAATATCTTTGATCACTATGCAAGTCCTTGCGAGTTTCGAGTCAGCAACGATCCACTGGTTGTCTTCGACCAGGACGTTTGCGATGCGACAATATACGGGTGTACAGGAGACCATAGCTTCTTGGTCCAGGCAAACGAGGATGTGAGACCATTGGAACTTAAATATGAATACGACCTTTACTTCGGATATGACAGCACATCCCACGAATTCCAAGACATGGTGGACTTTATTGAAGGGACCATGCTTGAACACATGGCAACGTTGCTGGGTTTGAAAGACTGTAACGGGGCTTCTGCCATCGTTCGAAGACGGCACAATAACAATAGACGGAAACTGGAATCCTTCACAGATGAGCTAAAGGCGGCGTTCGTTGCAATCAATTCTGAACCAGGGGACCAAAGTCGGTCGCCGGCCTACGGTGCGTACTTGTTGCGGACACACATTGTGTAGTGGGAACTGTTCAATGCTTTCCGATGCTCATGTCTGTGGAACTTGAAATTCTTTTCGCAACAGAATGTATAGAAGCACCCCAACAAGGCATAAAATGCGAGGCAATGGTAGGATACATGACGCTCTATATGGAGAGCTCGATGGCTTCAACCTTTCAGCAATCCACAGAGATGCAGGATGCCTTGTTGGAAGCAATTCAGGCGGGCATGGAATCCGACGTCTATGTCAAAGGGGCGATTCAAAAACTAGTTTATGTCGGCGACAGATCTGCTGGGGATGGGGATACTGTCGTCGATGAGACTCTTGTTAACACCCCACTTGTTGAGGTAACCAATGCTCCAGACACTGAGGAGCCATTTTCGATTGTCATCCCTCTTGACTCGGCTGACCCGGTTGTGCCGATAGGAGTCGCAGAGGAACAGAACAGGGCTGTAGACAACGAAGGGGGTTCAAGAGCTCTAAGCAACACTGAGATTGGCTTGATTGCGGGTGGCGCGAGCTTCCTGTTCCTTCTCGTTTTACTCGCAATCTGTTGCTTTTGCAAACGACGGCGAAGACGAACGTCTGACTCTTCTGCCGCAAGCTCCGGCAGTGAGAACGAGGTGCCAACTAAAATGATGATAGTGGAAGATGACGGGGATGCCACAAGAGAAGTGGGTGGTTCAAGTATCTGCTTTAAGAGACGGCGTCGCCAAAAGAAGATTGCCCCATCAAAGTATGGCATGGAAGGGGCTGAAATTCCAGGTTCGCTGGCTGCCATGGATGCCCTCGCCTTGCAACCACAGGTGGGCAACAGTCAACAAACGGTGCCGCCAGAGATGATCAACAGCCTACACATGATGCAACGAATCGAAGTAGGACGTGACACAGACGACGATGGGCTCTCATTACCCCCAGCAATTCCTCGAGTGGTGAAGAGTTCGTCCAGTTCAATGGAACGACAAGAACGACAAGTGCCGCCGGCGAGTCAAGTAGTAGTGGATCAGGGACAAGAAATGACAGCTACATACACCATGTCTACCGTCCCACTTTCGCCAGTGAGGAACTCCAAAAGCGGGATATCACCTTCCGAGGTATCCCCCAAGCGGCTTCCACCAGAACTGAACACTCCGTATGTCGCCCCACCGGTGGCGAATCAGGAATCTGAATCGTTTGCAGTGAAATCTCGTGACACTAGCTTTTATGGATCGGCCATGAGCACTCTGAGCAATCTGAGGCGGATCGTAACTTCCAGCTCTGATAGTTCCTGATCTCTTGGCATCAAAACCCCCGCATTTGTTTGAAAGACATGTGTTTACTGCATTTCTCCGTTTCCGGCAGCACAAACTGCTGCAGGTCATGAGCGACTGATGACACTCTCTGAAACAACCAATGACAACAATAAATTTGCTATGCTTCGCTCTCTACTAAAAGTTAGGTACTCTGGTCGATGTACGGTATGTTGACAACCTCCCTTAACTTCAATGTCAGGACTTCATTTGGAGATTGGTTACTACTAGCTAGATGTCTTACAAGAGAATTGTCACAAACTTCAGGGCAGGGGCCCAGGAAGCCTGGAGGTGCATGCCTTGCATTCAAGAGAGTTGTCACCACGGAAGCCAGTCAGGGAAACTTCTGATTGGTACCGTAGCCAGTACCGGTACTGGTATCCATGAAGCTCTTGTGACCGATACCATCCGTGTCATTTGCTAGAGCTGTCACCCAGCAGTCTTCTTCTCCTCACTCATGCTTGGCTAGTTGATAATACCATAATATACCATTATACCATTATTAGCCATTACGTAGCTCATTAGCTACAGCTCAAGGTCCGTATCTAATTAGACAACAAAAACCTACCCAGCGTAGAAGCGGTTCTTTGTGACCAGTCACGATTAGTACCGGGGGTACGGTACCGTACGGGTAGTGGTATTAATACCACCATGTACACGAAGTAAGTCTCAGCAATGACACCGACTTTTTCGACTGATTCGATTCGACTCCGTGTATGCCTAGCTAGCAATTTTTCGTCAGTTAGTTATTGCGAATGTTGCGATGACACCCTTCACACTTTTTTGAAACACACTCGCATTACCGCTCCACCCGGTAGAAGTAGCCGTTGTCAAACTCACACACAAGCACAAAACGACAAACACCAAGACAACCACCTCTTCAGCTATTACTATTAGAAGTAATAGTAATAAGAATCAGCAATAGAATGTCGCATGCTTCTGAATCCCCCTCCGCCCGAGCTCCACCGGAAGAAGAAGAAGAAGACATCCCCTTTAGTGGTTTTGATGAGATTGAGAATGCCTTCAACAGAGTCTCCCTAGTGGCTGACTCTTTGTTGGATTCGATCAATGACGATTCATTGCGTGCCAAGGATCGAGAGCGACAGCGACGTCGAAACAAGAACAAAAGATCTCCTGGTAGATCTACTTATTACAACTCGGACTCTTCTGTGGATGATGACCTGACCGACTACAACAATAATACGGCTGCGTCTCATGCTGGCAAACACACGTCGACTTCTGCTGAGGGTCGCCATGCACCAGAACAGGTGCACCGAAATGTGGTATCTCCCTACGATGCGTATACCTCGAACAACAATAGTGATCACAACTACACTCCTACTTCCTACTATCAGGATGACGACGTCTCTTTGCTGGGAGACTCGATAGTGGGTGCCGATGATGGTGATTCCCTCGATGGATCCTTGGTGCATGACCTGCATAATTTAAAGAGTATCCAAAAAGCCATGCAGGCTGATCTCATGAAAGGGGAAGAAGACTTCCAGGCGAATGTGACTTCTACCGAAGGAGGAGAGTTCAATGGCAAGTCCTTCTTTCAAAAACTCGAAGCCGCTGCTGCCGAAAATAATGGCAAGACACCCAAGACGCACAATCTGAATTTCAAGTCCAAGCTACTCGCCAACAAGAACCGAAACAAGCCATTTGCGACCATTGATATTCGCCGCAAATCACACACCGCGACAATCGACAACAAGCCGCCGCAACCGTCCTTGTGGGAACAGCTTCGAACATTTGTCACCAAGTATCTCGGTGACAAACCCAATCTACCGTTCTTTCTTTTCAATGCCATTGTCTGGATTGCCGTGTTCAAAATTGCACTTGCGGCAAGAAAGTATCTGGTGGAAGACGATGGTACACTTGGCATGTCTCCATTTGTACTGGCAATGACAAGTTAATCAATCACAGTGGGCACACAGTACAGTACCAACAGGCAACCAAACAAGCATGGGTTTTGGCACAAGTAAATAGAAGTACAGTCATGTGTTTTGTGTTGTTTGTTGTGGTGGAAAAAAGAGAGAGACGACCGATAATAAATGATGCGTCTCTCTCGATTTCGTGATGATAAAAAGGTGGTGCAATTCTTACGTGTTAACAAATGATGCAAAAAAAGATGTAACAAAGAAACAAAATCATACTGCGGAGAACGAAAGATAAAAACGATAGAGTTTGAAGATTCCAAAGAAAGAAAGCATGTCGACTAGATAGCTTGTACGGTACTGGTAGCTCCATCTGTCATTGCGGTACACTAGCTTCCAAATTATATGCCGATACTAGTACCTATCCAATCGAAGAACCCCAACGCAAGGGCCGACCTCCAATCATCTGATCAAGTTTAATGTAACTCAATAGTATAGCTGATGTTTTGTTTTAGACACTCAGGCAATGGGTACGCCTTTCGCTTGTGCGTTTCGAAAACGATGTCGAATGCTCCAATAGTCCTTTTGCATAGACGACTCTGCCTTGGTCAGCACATCTAGCTGGCTGCTGATTGCATCCATCTTGGCCTTGACCTCAGGGTTGAGAGGACCATTTCCCTGCACGCGTTCACCATAGGATTTGTTCGCGACGAGGGCTTCCACGTTTGCTGGTAATACCAATCCAGGGTACTGTAGCTTTGTATCCTTTACGTTGTTCGCAACCAAGAGCTTGTCAATATTGCCAAAGTACTGTGGCTCATTGTACCAAATGCAATTGCCTTTCCGATGAAAAGAGAAGACATTGTGTTGAGCATGGCAAACCAACGCGCAAGTAACACACAAGCTAGCTAGAGTCTAGGCTAGCAAGACATACCTCCAGCATCAAAGTCTCGGGTATCTTCGCAAGGTGGTTTCTTTCCTTTGCGACAAAACCATACTCGTTCTTTCACAGTCGAAACCAGACTGATGGCCAAACCCATGTGATCCGCACGACCAACTCTTCCGACCCTATGAACATAGATCTCTTTGCAAGGAGTCGTGAGGGACGACAGCAGAGCAGAAGTCCATGAGACCAAAGTTGCCACGAAGCGAAGTGCGTACCTGGTTTGTCGGGTAGTGTGCAATTGATCACGAATGGAAGATTCCTTATGTCAATTCCTCTTGCTGCCACATCGGTGCAAACCAATATTCTCACATCGCCTTCCTTGAAGGCACGCAATGAGCTTTGACGTTCCTCCATCGACCTCATGCCCGCAAGAACTCTACAGCTGTACTTGTCTGCAATTCCGATATCGCCAGCACTACCAATGCCCTTTAAGTACTTCTCAAGTAGATCGCAGTCCAAGTTGGTACGGCAGAATACAAGGACCTGGTCCATGCCAAATTTCTCCATGACTTCGACCAGGACTCTTGGCTTCAGCTGCTTGATGACTTCGCTGCTCTTCGATGCTTCATCGGTGATCTTCTTGACTTCAACTTTTGCAGAAAGTTTCCCATTTCTGTGCACTGCGTCGGTTTCGATAAGTTCATCATCTTTCAACTTGACGGTGGATGGATTCAACTGTATAAAGCAATGATGAACGGTGTCAGGTAGCATGCTGTCATTCTGACCTCGTAGATCTATCCACAAGGGTTGATGGCACAATGTGCTCGAAAGCTCCTGAACTTCTTTACTACGCAGTGTTGCGGAGAAGAAACAAACTTGGAGCCGATCAAACAAGGACTGGTGTGCCTCTGTGGAAGCAACAAGACGACCAAAGATGCTCTGAATGTTGTCGACTGAATCGGATGAAACAAGCTCGTCAGCCTCGTCGAGGACACTGTTGGCGACAGAAGCGAACCTTGAGTATCGCTGGGTTGGATTGAGTCGTCATGGCCGTGCCACAATGAGAATACGTACAATAGACGACAACGAGAGGGCTGGATAGTTCCTTTCTTCAAATAAGATGCAATGATAGGTGGCGTCCCAACCAGTACATCCACACTATTTTCCTTGAGCATCTTCAGTGTTTCCGTGGGCTTTACTCCACCAACCAACAGAGCCGCCCCCACGGGAGTCTCACGCAGCCGCTTTCCTAGTGTCACAAAAGCCTGGTAACTGGATCGTTTTTCGAGACGGCAATCAACGAGCGTTGGAACACTGCAAGAAAAATCGAGACTGCGTCGATGAAACAAAGAGGAGCTTCAACACTTGTAAACTCACCTTTGCTCTGCCAAATCCCGGGTCGGTTCAATGACAATTGCCAGAGGGCCTTGCCGTTTACTATCGGTCAACTTTTCTGCATGTGCATGGTTTGGGTTCTTTGCACCCTCATTGCTTGCCATTGACAAGGAAACAGGCTGGAAACCGTTTGGGGGCGGGAATCGAAGTGGATCTGCAAAGTTTAACTCGCAACTGGAGTTCTTCATGCAAATTGTTGGATAAAGCGTCTTTCCTGGTCCAACTTTGAATGGGTTTCCTAGGTTTTTGCCGTTACAACTGAAAGAGATCTTTGCGCCACCGGAATCCTCAAACTCCAAATGACATCCTATCACATCATCTTTTGTAAAGGAGGCTCTGTTCCCTTCACTGGGAAACGGATCATACTTGCCAGTGGTGACTGTCACTCCAGTCCCTCCATATCCCCAACCGTTCGCATCCTTTAGAAAAGATAGTGAGCATGAGAAGAATGGAGGGCAAGAATGAAGCACTGCAACACTTACCGTTCCCAGTTTCAAAGAGCCTTCTGAAGTGGACCAGCCAACTCGTACCGTACCATCCTTATCCAAGATGGTGCACTCAAAAGAGTATCCAGTTGCACCATGTTTGTCTCCCTTTTTTCCAACCTTTATCCCTGCTGCACAACGGCAACCAGCCCATCGCGTTTTGTCACTGGATTGAAGCTGCAATTCATTACCATTTGGATGAAAGGCAATCGTCTGGTCCCGGTCCTGTGTTGACATGATAAATTCCATATCTGGTGGACCCTTACCCTTTTCATCAATAGGTTTGTTGTTGCTACCCTGCTTGCTACCTTTTTGGTCTTGCTCCTTGTATTCCACACAGAGTTGAAGTACCGGCAAGGCAAATGCTACAAGCGACCAAAGTTAAATACCGATACAAGCGGCCAATACCAAACTGTCCCACTGATAACTTTGGATGTCAACTCACCGGCAGTTTTCCTGTGAAGTTAAAACCAAGTAGGCATCGGCCTGGTGAGCCACGGAATCCTCTTCGAACAGAACAAACGATATCGGAAGCAATAATACTTGAGCAGAAATCTCCACAACTCACCCAGAACCGGTTTCTGCAGAACCCTATATACAGTAAGTAAATGAGCCACCACAATGCAATATTAGTTAGCTACCGGTGTGGTCTGAACATCATGTGACAACGATTCGATTCAGGTCACTCTACTAACCATCACATCTCTGCCACCGAGCAGCATCGGGATCGCCTCTTCTTGGATATCACTTGGCAATCCCCATCCCAGATCTTCCTCGCAAGTTTGCACGAGTTCAGGCAGCAAACCAAGCGATTCCCAGCCACCAGCCATACTTTCAAGTCAAACAGTAGTGGTATAACTGAATCTTTACGAGCTACAGTGGAGCTTTCTTAAATCAAATTGTGGTTGTTCGAGGAAGTGCATCAAGCATCGCACCTGTGTCTTGCGTGCCGAGGGCAGGTCAAGGGGCGATCTTTAGACACATTTCCCTCCACCAAAGAAGCAACGTTGGCGGCTCTGCTGACATAAACAGTAGCCTCCTCATTTTTGCAGCCCAAAGATCCAATGCTTGCATCGTCCTTTCAGAGATCATTGCGACAGTGTTGTCGCGCCAAGACCATTGCAAACCTTCCCGTTCGATGTGACAAAGCCTTCACAAACCGTGTGTTCTCATCTGATGTAAAGGGAAGCATCCCAATAGATGGCATTGGTGTCGAAGTCGGGCAATATGCTATGGTGCGTTTTGTTGGCCGTGGACCATCTCTAGAGTTTTGGGTCTCGCTCTGAACCATGCAGTAATGCGTTTTTTTGTTTCCTTCCTCCTGGCACATTTTATTAAAGGTGGAACGATCATTCTCGGCAGAACAGGTGCTCCAGTTTGGAAATCTGATTCATGATTTGAACCCATTGCACTTGACGTGGCAAGAAGAAACCTTGCCTCTCGAATTGCAGACTCATCCCCTGCTGCTACAACAAGAAAAACAGGAAGGCCCTTCTTCTTCTCTGCCAAGACCCATTGTCCATGGCATGTTGGTATCCAGTCTATTTTCCAGCATTTTTGGTACCTTGGTGCCTGGCGCCGTTTACATGAACCAAACATTGAACTTTAGTGCTCCCGTTTTTGTAGATGATTTGGTGGTTGGCAGAGTAGACATAACTCGTGTGCGCAACTTTAAAGCGGGTGGAGTGGTTGTGACCTGTGACACTCGAGTACTGCGAAAAGAGACCGAATGTGTCAGTGGCAAGGCCAATGTGTGGCTTCCCGGGGCCAGCAAAAAGACACCGGCAAGCTAGATACAAGTAAAGGATTGCTGCACACCAGACCGATCATCCCAGATAGATGTGCATGTGCATCTAGTACCGTACATGCACCGTACTTGAGTAAGGAAACAGTCGTCGGCTACATTTACGCTTTGGCCGTCATGCTTCTACGTAGCGCCTTGCTACGAAACAGAGTGCAACGTGGTATCGGAAAAGTATTTCTCCGCGCTACAATTATTTGGTCTGTTCTTCAGTCTATGTCATCATTATTTGTACCGGTAGATGAAATGGTTGCCATTCCAAAGCATCAATCAATACAGTGCATCCAGTGTGGTTGCAGGGATACAGGAATACATCCTTCCTCTCCGAGCAAAACGGCCAGTCTTGACCAGACCAATGCCAGAGAGCGAGAATTTCAGAAGAACAGTACCGGTACCGGTACCTGGAACTGCTGCTGATTGCTGTTTCATCAATAATAATTGATTGATCCTCATATCCTTCCCAGATTTTGCAGTCTGACAAATTTTCCATTCTGTGAGACCAATTGTCCCTGAAAAAAGTCACAATTGTAAACGCGTCTTCCATTCTCCAGCATCATTGGGAAATATGCTTGGAAGCATGCTTCAATCCAGACCCCATGGGAGACGACACAAATGTTGGTTTCCTCCCGTTTCGCTACCCAGTCCAAGAATTGCGTGACTCGTTGGACGACATCGTCTATGGTTTCTCGTCGAGTCTCACTCCATTGTTCGTCTCGATCCGTCATGGAAGGATCGAAATGTACAAACGGCCAATGTTTCTCTAGCAAAGACTTGTCGCGACGTTTGTCTGGATAATGCATTCCGTAGGCTTCGCGTACTTGTTCCATGCACGTCAAGGGAATGGGGTCCTTGTCATAAGAGGAAGTGCCAGGAGGAAAAAAGACCAAATGAGCCGTCTGGAGACATCTCGTCAACGGCGATGCGATAATCAAATCGACGCTTTGAAGTGGTCCATCCGCAAGGCGTTCGCGGACACTCAGAGCTTGTTTCATCCCCTGTGTCACCAACGGTGGATCCCAGAGGGTGGGAGAACGCAAATTGGGCGAGGCTCCCGTGACTGGGTCTGGTAAGTTGTGCTTGGCCACGCCATGTCGTAAGAACATGATCGTCTGGATCTTTTCGTCTCGTTTGCCCGATGCCTTCATTCTTCTTCTTGATGAGCTATCCCAACACAGCACCACTACAACGTGTTGTCTTTTACTATTTCTGAGCCCTGCAACCATGCAACAACACAAATCAAATCTTTGAGATCTTCATCATCCAGACGCACATTGGATCGTATCTTTTTCTAACTCCCGTCCAATGTCCAATAGACGAGGAATAGGACCGAGCAGAGATGTCGGCTGCGATACGGTATGCATGGCTGGACAGTATTGGTACAATCCCCTGGGAGTTGCAGAAGCAAAGAAGGATGCTGATGATGTACCGGTACCGCCACCACCCCAGATGTTTGATCACTTCTGTCTATTGATGAAGCATCTCATGGTTGGGTCAGCCTTTTGGGGGTGGATGGCTGGTGCGACAGTGTGTTTCCAGTTGCTGATCCAGTACATGTATGCATAGTCTCCATGCCAGCAACCTGCCGACACGGAATAATTCCTTCTGCGCAGTTTGGTGGGTAGCAGATTTGCGGTATCTATGTTTTGTTGGCTGGCTGGGGCTGCTTATCCATGAGACCAAAAACTCAATTTTGAATCTCATACATGTATGTGCAACAATCTAACTAATAATTTTGGGTAGTGCATTTGTACCCGAACTGGCTTGTGTCTGGAGCTGCTTTCGGTTAGTTTTCATGAAGGCTTGACAAGCACCTTGTCGCCAAGTGAGCAACGTCCCCGGGGTACCGGTACACTGTACTACATGTAGAGTGCGCCTCAAAGCTCGATCTGTCTTTGTTTGAAGCAAAAGCCGACAAAAGTGTCCGTCTTTGCAATTTGAACTCTTGAATTTTCAAATTGATCTCAAATCCCTCCCAAAATTGTGAAAATATTTGTCCATTGAAGCGGTATTCAGAGATTAAAAGGGTATCCAAGTAGACGTGCGTAAGCCCGGTATCCCAGCACAGCAAGTATGATAAATTGCGTTCGAGGTGATCCGGGACACGCGAATAAACGACCCAATGAGAGTGCTTTATCCTGCATTTAAAAAGCAGGAATCTTGCATCGAATCTGCAAAATTTGGGTAGAGTACACAATTTCACATAGTGATGAATCTCCTCTCCGACGAATTCCAAGTATGTGGCCACCGACGACGCAAACGAATGCAAATGACAAATGAACAACAATGCTGATGGCAAGGCAACGAAAGCAAAGGACCTTTCTCACAACATTTACATTCTCAATCCTCCCTCTGGTACCTTCCTCTGGTTCCGTTATCCTCCTCCTCTCATCGAATTATCTTCTGCCAACTACCGTAGAATGACAGATACCCTAAAGAAGCTTGCCGTGGAAGACTCCGAGTCCTGGTCGCTCCACTTGGAACGCAATGGACAAGGCAGACGCCAATTGAAGCACCACCACCATAACAAAGATGTGGACGCTTCAGAGTTGGAGCTTCAAAGGGAAGAAGACTTCAAGCAGAGTCAAAGAGACGCAGAAGCTGCTGCTGCCAAGAAGCGCCGCAAGAATGAAAAGAAACGGGCCAAGCGATTGGCAGACCTCTATGCTGACCCAGGCATCCAAGAGCAAACCACTCATGGCATGGTGATTGACGCTGGCAGCAGTGGAAGTCGCCTCCACCTCTATGAATGGGAGCCTCGTGTCCTGAGGGATGCGAAGGATGTAGAGGCGGCAGTATCTGGTCGGAAACTCAGTTTTCCAGGTACCGAAACACGTTGGACGGAGCGTCTGAGGCCGGGTATTTCCACTTTTTCCACCATCACAGACCAAGATGAATTGGAAAAGGCCATTGCAGACTACTTGGAGCCTCTCATCAGCTTTGCCGAGTCCATTCTTCATGAAAAGGAAGACGAATTTCCAAACTTCCGCATTTACCTGAGGGCCACAGCAGGCATGAGACTTCTGTTGGCAGAGGAGAGAGCCCGGATCATGGGGGCAGTCCGAAAGCTCTTTGCCAACAACACGTATTGCCCCTTCTACTTTGAAGATGAACAGGCTAGGACTCTCTCAGGAGAAGAAGAAGCCATCTATGACTGGTTGGGTGTCAACTTCCTCTCCAGCAACGGGGGAATCCTCCAGGACTCGGCTGGGAGTGGCGCTGTAACGGATCCCAAAGAAACCTTTGGAGCCCTCGATCTTGGAGGTGCATCCACTCAAATCAGCTTCTATGAACCCAATGAAGATATTATGGCCAACTTGTTCAAGCTTCAGGTTGGCCAAGGCAAGCACTGGAATGTCTACACCCACAGTTTTCTCTTCTACGGAATCAACGAAGCTACAAACCGTTTCGAGGCCAGGTTGGCCAGTGGAAAGAGCGCCGAGGATCGCCTTGTCAAGGGTGTCTACAACCCATGTCTCCCTGGTGGATCATCCAAAGACATTCGTACCAACATTCACACGGACGAGAATGGGATGGAAAGTTGGAGCTACAACCACACACATGTCTCTGGGAGCGACTACTACCAGGCCACTCTGACCAACGACAACAAGCAAAGTGACTTTGAACACTGCAATTCACTGGTGGCAGACTTGCTACACATGGCACAAAACGCCTGGTGCAACTTTGATCATCGAGGTGATTGCTCCTTTGCTGGCATTTACCAACCCAAGTTGCCACCACAGTCGGAGCGCTTTGGAGAATTCATTGCCTTCAGCAACTACGTCCATATTTGGGAGTTCTTGAATCTTCCCGAACGAGCCAGCATTGCTCAATTGGAGAACGCCACCAAGCACGCCTGCAGCTTGAGCAAGGAAGAAACCATTGCCTTCAACAATGGTCGCATCGACGAGGATGAAGTCGAACAGTACTGCTTCAGGTCTGTGTACGCCTTGAACTTGTTGAGGGGGTATGGTTTCAAGGACCAAGATGAGATCGCAGCGAAGAAGATTATCAACGGGCACAAAGTGGGTTGGGCTATTGGATCCATGCTCTACGAAATCAACACTCTCCCATGGGTCTACGAAAAGCCTCCACACAAGCACGCCCTTCCAACCCGCGACAATGGTTTTGGTTACCACGATGAGTACAACATGTTGAATTGGGAAGCATTCGCGATCGGCTTTTTGGTTCTCTTCGCCGGTCTTTTGTTCATGCGGCGTCAACGCAGCGATGCCTACAAGTACCAGTATGAGCCTGTGAAGGAGGTCGTGTCCTACCAGCAGGATGTGTAGGCATTGCCCCCTTCCCCTCCTCTGCCCCTTTTCTTTTAGCTACGCTTGTGAAGAGTGTTGATGTCTGCTACCCCCGTGTAATACAATACAATGAACTAAATATGATTGCATGTCTACCTGATCAGTCCTGAAAGGAGAGGACGTTATTTAGCATTGCTGTGTCCTTCTTGATTGACCATGCACCGTCACTGACAGATTAGCTAGTGTGTTGCTGTCTAGCTTCATATTAAGGCCTCTCGACCCCTTTGGTGCAGGTTTCGTCCAACACAGTCTGGACTCGCTGATTGATGGAAGTCCTTCTAGCTACCTCGCTAGAGGCTACTAGGATGTCAGTTTTTGTGATGTTGCATTGGCTAGCTAGGTAGCTTCTGCGTCCGTAACGAGGCTGTGTCTCGAGGCCTCTTCGAGTGCCTGATGTGCATGTTTCCTCCAACTATTTGAGGTCTGCACTTGGTGATTTATGGCTGTACCTGCACCTCTGAAAAGGATGGATACACGTGCCACCATAACTGGAGGCAAGCGACGTATCAGGATGAGCATTGGAAGTGAAGCAATGAAACGAAGAGGAAAGACAACTTACTGGCAGCATCAGGGATAGTCGTCAGTGGATCTGACTCCATGAGACTCTGGAAGTAGTCCTGTGGGGTATCATGACCTTTTTCTTTGTACAAGAAATCGGAGTCGAAGAATAGACCAGCAAATTCTGCCAGGGTGTCATCCTCGTCCAGCTTACTCTGGAATCCAGCAGCTCTCATTGCCTCAGCAATTTGGTGACTATCTGCTTTACTTCCCACGGCGTTGACGATCCTGGCATAGGCTAAGCGCTCATTGTCGTCCAGCTTCTTTGTTTGACCAAAGTCAATCAAGCCTAACCGTCCGTCGGATAGTTCCATGATGTTCCCTGGTTCGAGGTGCCAAATGAGGGACGAGCAAAACACACACAGTTCAGTCAGAGACGAGCAGCCATGAAAGGTAACCAGAATATCTTGCGTGTGAATGCATACAGACCTGGATGAGGGTCTTTGATGTGGCGTTTAATGTGAAAGGGGTAGCCAAACCAATGAGTCAAAATGAATGTGCAAAGACAAAGTCGTGCGGGCAGTATCGCATACAGTACCTCCATTAAAAACTGCATCCTGAAAAATTTGGTGCCCGTGGACTTCAACCAGCAGATCAATGTCCTTTTGAACCTTTCTATACAATGCAAGCGCTCTGAAAGCACGGATCACTCCACGGATTCCATGCAAATCTAGCAAGTCATATATACTGGCCTTTGAATCCTCGGATGAGTTCCGACCAAACATGATCTCTGCAAAAGGCTTCTTGAGCTATCCAACGGCAGTCGCTACGATTCACTTCCTTCAGCTCGGTTTGGACGTACCTTTTTGTCGTTGTGCCAGAAAGTTGGAGACTTTCTCTCTATCACCGCCAACCACTCTTGACAACTTTTCTTCAATCGCATCCTTGAACTTCTGGCCATCCAGCAGTTCCATCACCAGCACATGCTTGCAGCATAGGTTATCATATGGCTGAGGAATTTTGAATTGTCGTTTGTAAGGGGACTTCATCAAATTGTTGCGCACTAACATTTGATTGTCCCTTTCAGTGTGATAGTCAAACTCGGTCATCAGCCGTCGCTCTAGCTCTTCCAGTAGCGGACTCCACCCAGGCAGAGCAATCCTGGTGAGCCACTTGAAGACTTGAAAGTCGCACGCAAACCGTTGATGAGCATCGGGATGCATAATCTTTACTGCCACAACCTTTCCTCCCTTGTACCCAGGATCCGCCTTCAACCAGTAATCTTTGAGTTCAGCCCTGTGTACCTGTCCAATGGCTGCACACCCCAGCGCCACCGGATCAATACTCTCAAAGACATCATCGTAATCTACGCCCCACTCTTTCTTTAATGAATCCCTTACAATTTCGACGGCATCTTCAATGGGCCATTGGGGAACTGAATCCTGTAGGGTAGAGAAGACATTCACATACTGAACAGGCATAAAGTCAGCCCTAGACGACATGACCTGGCCCATCTATGGAGGGTGTTGTCAACGAGAGAAAGTGAGACATAAATTTGCAAGTTGTCGTCTCATCATCTATCTCCTCGTGTGATGCGCCAACACACTCACCTTCACATAAAGACCTATCAGAAAAGAGAAGAGTTAGTTGAAAGCGGAAGTACGGAATGATTGAGCACTTGCTTAGGCCAAAAAAAATGCAGCGCTCATGACGTCGACGCACCTTTCAAGTCCAGTGCGAGATCCAAGCACGGTTCGCAGTATCGATTATGGAGCGATTGATAGACAGCATGGCGTCTTTCTATTGGTGCCTTTCGCGTTCTCAGCCACCATTGTGTAAACTTGTAGTGAGCCACAATGGGACCTGCTTTTTGCCAAAAGAAACATGCCCGTTGCGCTGCTTCGGATTTTTGGAGCGCGACATTGGCAGCAAGGGCGCATGCAATCCCTGACATGCATACAATGCGAGGTGTGATGGTTGGGGTGAGGACATTTCCAGAGGCTATATGAATCGCCACTTGCTTGGATAATGCGTGGATTCTGCTCCATGCGAGCAGCGGACCCCCTCCCTTGAATGACCTTTTCGATTGATAGAGAGCGGACCCGTCAGCTACTGTCTGTGCGCCAGGATCGTTTTCTCCACCAAGGCGGGTTTGTGCCCGATTCTTTCGCAGCGTTGGGATCGCTGTCGAGGAAACGCTCTGGGCGAACCAAAGCAGCACCAGCGACAGAAGAGGAGCCAAAAGACGACCAAACCGCTTCTTCATCATCTTGTCTTATTGGTAGAATACTTTACAACACCATCCTGAAATATGATACCGGTATGCATGGGCATACCTTGCTATGCATGGGCATACCTTGCTATGCATGATGCATGATGATCGAGAAGTGTAACAAAACCCGCAAATTGGTGTCTCGTGGCATTTTTCCCCTGAAGGGAGATCGTCGGGAATGACGTCAGTGTTAAGTCACGAATCAATTGAGTCAAACAGTAGTCAGGAAATGCTCGTGACTGCGACTGCCACCAAACAAAACGACGATGCAGGTCACGATGACACTTATACTTGCTCTCAGCTTGTCTTTCGTCCTTTTGTGCCACTGCCGGTACAGTGGCTCGAAGCTCCCTTGGCTTGTTGCTGGTGTTGTAGACCTTAGAAATTGCTCAATTTGGTGGAGAGAGATTGACCTATTCAACTCTTTTTGAGAGGTATTTCCATCTCGGCTTGAAACCAGTTCCTTCTCGCAACAAACAACACGACAATCGGCGACAAGTCTTGGAAGAGTGCAGCAATCAGCTCGTTTTGCTATGGTCGTTCAGAGACGAACAGGCAACAATAACGATAACAACCGTTCCACCACCATGTCTTCCGACCACCAGGGCCCTTCTGAGGCCATGATCCAACTGATTTCGCCGGATGGGTATTATACCTACTTGGGAATACCCAAACCAACTGCTGCCGAGATTGCTGCCGCCGCAGAAAATGTGTCATCCTCGTTTGTTTCCTCCAAGAAGAATGCCAACAAGGTGGGGAACAGTGGAATTGACGAAGATCAAGTCAAGAAAGCATATCGCAAGCTAAGGTCAGAATGCATTGGATTTGCTTGGATTGGATGGTCTGGTTCAAAAAAAAATGGCGCTACCTAGCTAGAACTTTTGCTCAAACAATTTTTTTTGCTCCTTTCTCGTTTTATATATTATAGCCTCAAGCATCATCCCGATAAACCAGGTGGCGATGCCGACACATTTCGAGTACTCAATCGAGCACAAAAGGTCCTCATGAATCCCAAATTACGACAACAATATGATATTCTTGGATTGGATTTGGACGACGACGACGATGGACGAGCCGGTGGTGATGCTGAGGATGATGATGAAACGGCTTCGCAAGGAATTGTCCATGAAATTGCCACCATGGCAATGGCTGGGCTCATGCATTTGGGTGTCCGAACTGGTGAGTCTACATACAAAGAATGCGATGACCAGCCATACAGTTAGTTTGTGAACTAATCTTTCTGTTTTCCATGTTTTGATTGTTCTTTTGCATGCAGGACTGATGGGTCTAGTGGCCGTAGTAGTGGTTCGCTATACGATACTGTTTATTCCTGCCTTGCTCTTTATGGGCTATGTTGGCTTTTCGGTCTTTAGGTCTACCCAACTTCCAGATGGACATCCTGAAAAACTCATGCCCCAAGCAGTGGGGGGCGCCATTGCCTTGGCTGGTGGTTTGGTGTGTATGTACTGGGGGCGATCATATGATGAAGACAACAATGCACAATGGTCATGGCTTTTTTGGTTGGGAGAATCCACAGTGATGGGCATCTTTATCTTCAATTCCATTGGTGCTAGTTTACCCCTTGGCATGCCATTGTACGGTGGAATTGCAGTGTTTTCCATTCTCGTGTCCTTGTGGATTCGTGGTCGATTCTGGACCTATGTTTCTATTTTGATATTTGAAGCATTACTGCTACTGTTTGTGGTCATGGCCTTTCCTGTCATGGAGATGGTGTTGGAGACTATCTTGAATGAGAAATTGCGCAAAGTGGGGGACAAAGTTCGGGTACATCAACGACAATTGGAAGCCTACTATGCCAACAAAATGATGATGAATGAAAAGGGTAGCTACCGGTAACATTGATGTCTTGGTTCATTGTACCGTGCAGTACTGATGTAGCAGTGCTATTGAACTAGCCAGCCAGGCTCGTAGTGCGAAACAGCTGTCTTCGCACTGGTGTGTCCGAGCAACAATTTCAGTAAAATGGCCCAGCTAGCTAGAGTAGCGGATTAGTCTGGGTGGCCAGGTAGGGGATTAGTATACTGAAGTGCTGTCCGGGGCCAGACTTAGAAGGAGAAGAAACATGAAATTCTGGACTAGATTCAGTGGGATCCTGGGTGACAAACTGGGGACCAACATGTGAGCCAAAGTGCTTGAATTTTTGGGATCTTTGTAGACTGAGTGAGTGGCCTTTCTCTTTTAAAATAAATGAACAAGGGTGATGGAGACTGATACCTTGGTAGAACATCATTTGACATAGGTCTGTGGTCTCATGGCGAAAACTTTACCGGTACCGGTACCAGGCACTACTAGCTAGTACGTGTCTGTCTGAGTTTTGCCATTCTGGCTTCGCTTAGTCACGAATTCATCATTCAGGACTGAAGCTCTGGCGGCAGGACCTTGCTTGAAAGCCGCGGAACGGACTGTCTACAACAACAGCAACGGAGAAAATACAATGACAGAGAAAGTGAGGAAGCAATAGAGAACGAGAGACGATCAGTAGTAAAATTCAATCTGTCGCTGCCATGAACGATCGACCAACACCGCCCCTGAGTCCACTTGGCTATGAACAGCAGCAGCAGCAGCAGTATGGAATGTGGCCTCAGCAGCAGCAGTATCAGGCACAGCCACAGCAGCAGCAACCAGGCTACGGTGCTGATCCTTCGTCGGAATCCGGCATGGGGAATCCCTTTCCCATGAACGCAGGAATGTACATGAATGGCCATCATCAGCAACAGAATCCCCAGCCATCATATGCCATGGCCCCTGCAGCAGACGACGGCTATGACGGTGAAAACTCGCTTTACGCGAACACAGCCATGGAGAATTCCTATGCAGGCGTGACGCAACAGCAGGAGCAACAACAACCATATGAGACTCATCACCAGAACACTGATACTGGTTCAGGCATGCATAGCCATGGTGGTTCTGCCTACTATGACACGTCGGCGAGTCAATACGGCTCTGGGGCACCAAGTCACAACTTTGGCGAACATCATGAGATTGCTCCAGGAGGAGACAACCACAACAACACCGAGCTCAATCCTCATTCCTATCAGCCGCCACAACAGAGTCTTCCTTCTGAAGCTTTCTCTCATCAGCAGCAGCCACAACAGAACCACTCTCCTGAAGATTACTCTCATCATCAGCAGTCGAATCAGCAGAGGCCTACTGAGGATTTTTCTTATCACCAACAACAGAACAACCAACAGTCACAGTATAACAGTCCTCACGAGGCATACCAGCAGTCTCATCACCAGAGCAATCCGGAATCTTATTCTTATCAGCATCAACAGAACCCTTCTGAGCACGAACATCAACAGCAACAGAACCCTCAGAATAGCAGTCCTCCTGATGCTTACCCCTATCATCACCAGAGCGCGTCTCAAACCTTGCCTCAGACTCATCACACACCTCCGGAAGAAAACAACGAAAATACGGCCAACACTGTCAGTTTAACGTCCACGCCTCTCTCTGCCGAAGTTGACACTAGTAGTAAATTGCCACCCTCAGCTGCTGCCCTCCCCAACAAAAACGATGACGACGACGACGACGACGATGTCATTGAGTTACTTTCCGATGGCGACGATGACGACCATGATACGAGCCAGAATTCGGCATCAGCTCCCAAACGACCCCGTCTTGAAATTCCAGTGGTGGCGTCGTCGGCGGCAGGAGCTGTAGCATCCTATCAAGCACGAACAGCGGCCCTACAAAACCTCGTCAGGGGAAATCCCATAAACCCAGGAAACACACTATCGGGAATGGGAATGCAGCAGTATCAACAACAATACGCAGCGGCCGCATTTGCGGCTTCTCAATCTCCTCTTTTTGCCAACAGCAACAACAATGGTATGGCCAATTCTGGCGCCTTGACCAATGCCATTTCGTACGGAGCAAGCCTGGAATTTGACAAACCACAATTTGTAGAGTTACCGTCGGATTTTGTACCAACATGGAACACTCTCGTTCCCAACAGTTTGGTCAAACCACCCAAGCGTCGCAACAAAAAGGCATACGAACTCTCCTTGATCAACTTGTCCGAATTCACAATTACCGGGTTGCCTCTCTACTATCAAGGACCACCAACACCCATTTCGGGGCTTCGAGCTGTCATTAAACGCATTTCTAGGGAACACGGAACTGCCACCTTTGAACGAGAAAGAGATGGATCGGGAGGAGGACGGTGGAAGATTCCTCTGGCGGCGTATCAACCCCTTGTGAGCTATATCCGGTCCGATCCTGACGTGATAGAGTTGAAGGTCATTCCACCCCAAATGTTGAAGGTTGCTACCTTGGGACAAGCTCGTCAGGCAAAGGGTTTCCCCACGGCCGAGTTGCTCTTGATTCGTGGAGTTCCGTGGGCTCTGGCCAAAACCTTGGCTCCCTTTCAGCGGGGAGGAGTCGAGTTTGTTTTGGATCGAGGTGGTAAGTGCAATTGTATGGCGTGTGCGTGTTTTTTCTTTGGATGCGGCAGTGCAAAGGAACTGACGTGCCCGGGATTTGCGTTTGAAGGTCGAGCTCTGGTCGCCGATGGTATGTAGGCTCTATTGCTGTAATTGTACATGATAGGTTTTCCATCGTTCTCATGACGGACTTTGCGCTTTCCTGATGGCATCACAGAAATGGGTTTGGGGTACGTCCAACGTTTGCATAGGTCATTTTCGTGCTCCCGCTGATTTCTCATATGTTGGTTTTGCGTTCTCTAGAAAAGTAAGTGTTTGATTTATCCGAGCAACTAACTGACAGACACCAAGCACACAGTAATTCACACTCGAATCGAATCCACCCCTGTTTTTCCCCTTTGCACAGACGATTCAGTCTATTGCCAGCATGGCGGTCTATCATCAGGAATGGCCTCTGTTGGTTTTGACTCCGAGTGGGGCACGGTATCACTGGGAAAGCGAGTTTCGCAACTGGCTGGGGGTAAACGGGGCGGCTTCGAAAAAACTAGATGAGTTTTCCAAGTTTGATGAAGAAACAGCGCCCTTGTCAGAGGAAGCTGCATCAGCTGCAGGTCACAGCTTTCCTTTGCTCAGGGATTCACAAATCCACGTGCTTACATCGTCAAAAGGGGAAGTAATCCCCAACCGCGACACCCGCATTGTCATTTGCTCCTATGGATTGGCCCCATTGCTGGCAGAAAACAATGGTATCACTCCAGGAATGTTCAAGTGTGCAATTGCCGACGAATCTCACATGCTGAAGAACTCGAGGTCCAAGAGAACACAGTTTTTACTGCCCGTGTTGAAGAATTGCAGCCGTTGCATTCTTCTTTCCGGTACTCCGGCACTGTCAAAACCGGCGGAGCTTTGGCCTCAGTTGGAGATTCTGAACAAAGACAAGCACGGATTTTGGGAAAGCGAAGGCGAATTCATGGACAAATACGTGAAGAACGGCAATTCTGCGCGGAGAGCGGAACTGCACGCGATGCTCACTGGCACGTTGATGGTTCGACGCCTGAAGGATGACATCCTCAAAGATATGCCACGAAAAGCACGGTAAGAAGGAATGATATGCTTCGGAGTCTGGTGCGTTTCTGTATCCTCACTGTCTTTCACGCAACTCCAACAGAGAAAAGGCCATAATCTCTGTAATGACTCCCGAAATGAAGACGAAGATGCAAGAATGCATGGTTCTTCTTCGTGAAGGAAAAGGTGTCATGGGGAAGCTTGCTCGGCAGCATTCTGCAATCGTCCCTCACGACGACCAAGAGGGTGTTGCCGAGACACCTCCACATGCGCATGCACCTGCAAATGCACCTGCAAAGCCCACAACAGAGTCTGACCGACAGTCCTTCCAACTGCTTTTGTCCCATCAGCGCATGCCAAAAGCAGGTACCGATGCGGAAGCACAGCTGGAACATGAGATGTTGAATCAGTTCCATGGACAGATGCAAACTCTTCGGTATACCATACAGCAGAACGGCCACAATCTTGGCATGCCCGAGGCGCAATCTTTCATGGAGCAGCAACGGGACCGGATCTTTGGTGAGCTGGCGACTCTATATTTTGAACGATTGCAAGGAATTCGCGGCGCTTCCGACAGAGTCGCGAATGGATCCAACGGAGAGAAAGCCGAGGAGGAGACGCCAACTCGTGCTACCGTTCTGAATCAAATGTATCGTCTCACGGGTGAATGTAAGATTCCTGCCGTTGTGAGGTTTGTTAATAAATGGCTCGGCGACAGGACAAAGGGGAAAATCTGCATCTTCGCACACCACATCTTCATGCTCGACGCCATCGCGAAGGAATGTGGGTTGTCAAACAGTGGGGCGAAGGACGCGGTGAAGTTCATTCGCATTGACGGCAAGACCAATCCAAAATTCAGACAAGAGCAAATTGATGCATTTCAAAACGACCCTTCCGTTCGCGTTGCGTTATTGGGCATTACCGCTGCTGGGGTGGCCGTAACCCTGACCGCATCGTCGCAGGTTATCTTTACGGAACTGTTTTGGACACCCGCTATCATGATTCAAGCCGAGGTAAGAGCAAGCATCGTCACTGAACATGTATGTGTCATTAGATCGAGGCCGTGTGCTGATCACTGTCACCTTTCGCAGGATCGGTGCCATCGAATTGGCCAACGAGCAAGGGTGCATTGCAAATACTTGGTTGCCAAAGGAACGCTGGATGATATTCTGTGGCGCCTGGTAGAAAAGAAGTTCGCTGAACTCGGTGAGTTTGTCGAAGGAAAAGAAAAGTTGAAAATGACTGTGCACAGGGTATTCAAGGACGAAGCAGACCTCCACAGCATCTTTGACCACGAAGAAGACGACGATGACGACGACGATTTGCTGGAACCCGAGCAAGTCGAAAGTTCAGAGCCTGACGTTTTGCCACTGGATAGCAGTCTCGAGCACGACATCGAGGAGTTCGGGAGGGAGGAGCAGGCGATGCTTCTCTCTGCAAACGGAGACGACGATGATGAACCCGACACTGTGCCGGGTGCCCAATCCCTCTTACCAGCAGCCCCAGTAGCGGGCCCAGGCGCTTCCCAAGAGGACGCAATTGCACTCTCTGACTCCGACGAGGAGGACGAACCACAATCTGCCAGGGCTGTAGACCTCGAAAACAATCCTTCGTATTTCAATGTCGCAGGAACACTGCCCTCTTGCCGAATCTACAGGATGCTTCTTAATGGCTCCACGCTTGGGGTTGAAATTGCCATTTATCAACGTCGAATTGTTGTGTCGAGGAAGCTAAAATCTCGTGTTCGACGCCTTGGGGAGGATTGCAAGCCTGACGTTGGGGATGTCTTGGTGGCTGTCGACACGGCCGTAATGCCCTATGTGAGCAATCTGGACACTACACTGAAGTATATCAAAGGCGTACTTGATCGGCCGAAACCCTCTCTACTGTATTTTGCCGAGGATGCCCAGTTCAAACAACACTACATCAGCGTGCACCCTCCCCAAAGGAAGAAGTCAAAACCTCAGCCGGCGCCTGTAGATCAAGTTGTGGAACTACTGGATGACGATTGAGCAGTACCAGTATAAGAAAATATGCAACATTATTCTCATTATTCTCGATATTACTTTTCTATAGAATGTATTTGTCCAGCCACGGCACTACAACAGCAGCCATAGGCTTTCATTCGACTAAAAGGTCTTCCACCAACCACGATCAGTTGCACGGCTAGAGACTGTTTGCGAAGGCCACGAGGTCGTCGATTTGCTTGGCAACAGAGCTCTTTGCAGTTCCACCAATGGAGCACTTGCGCTCAACGCTGACCTCATAGTCCCATACTTTCATCACGTCTTCTTCAAAGCGTGCATCAATCTTCTGCAGTTGCTCCAAAGTCAAGGTGTCAATGCTCACCTTCGTCTCTTCGGCAAGTCTCACACAGGCACCACTGATGATACGAGCCACCCCAAGGTGCAAACTGTGAGCCCAACGCAGTATCAATTAAAACATCAACCAACACCATGCGTGCTTACCTGATGTGATGAGTTTCACGGAAAGGAACACCCTTACGAACCAAGTAGTCCGCCAGATCGGTCGCCAGCATTTCTGGGCAGAGAGCTTTCAGAAGCATCTCAGGGTTGGGCTTCATTGTGACCATGACACCAGTTGCGATCGCAAGACAATCCTTGACCGTGTCCACAGCTTCAAACAAGGGCACTTTATCTTCTTGCAAATCTTTGTTGTAGGCACGAGGCAATCCCTTGAGCGTGGCTGTGAATCCAACTGCACGACCAAGCGCAATCCCTGCTTTTCCACGCAGTAGCTCGAGCGCATCTGGGTTTTTCTTTTGGGGCATGAGAGAAGATCCCGTGGCGTAGGCATCATCAATGTCCACTCCCTTGAGAAGATTGGTAATAATGACATCTTCGGCAAATTGACTAATGTGTGTCAACAATAGAGTACTCCACATGAGAAATTCGACGACAAAATCACGGTCGCAGACGGAATCGAGTGAGTTGTGCGTGACACCGTCAAATCCGAGTTCCTTGGCCAAAAATTCTCGATCGACACCAAAGGCGTTTCCTGCCAAAGCACCAGATCCAAGTGGGCATTGATTGGCACGTGGGATGATATCTTGCAATCTCTGAGCATCACGCATAATTGGCATCAAATGGCTGAGAATCCAATGTGAAAATCGAATGGGTTGTGCTGGTTGCAAGTGGGTGTATCCAGCCATGAGAATGTCCTCATGTTTTTTGGCATACTCTGCCCCCGCAACCAATAAGGTAGCAATATCTTTGATAATATCTCGTTCTGCTTCTACGGTCCACAGACGAGTATCGGTGGCAACTTGATCATTGCGAGAACGTCCGGTGTGGAGCTTTCCACCCGTGGGTCCAATAATTTCTGTCAAGCGGCGTTCATTGGCGGTGTGAATATCCTCATCACCGGGTTTGAGCTCAAAGGTTCCGTTGGCCCATTCCTCCCTGACTTTTTCAAGGCCTTCGACCAATTGATCTTTTTCTTCTTCCGAGATAATTCCAACCTTGCAAATCGCCTTGGCGTAAGCCACAGAACCGCGAATATCCTGATCCCACATTCTATAAAGAAAAATCAGATTTTTTGTTGTTGGAACTTGTCATGCATCTCGATGGAAATAACTTCCGAATTCAGACGACACGTACCTTTTGTCAAAACCAATGCTCTCGTTGAATTTTTCCATGATGGGATCAGTTCCTCCCTTGAACCTGCCTCCGGCTCCAAAAAGGCCACCTCGGGCTCCACTTGCTACACAATTTGGGTAGCGAGAGTTACATAGTTTGTGGTTAGGAAGATGGCTTCTTTTTGTCATCAATATCCGACTACGTGCAATGATGCTCACCTTGTTCACCGCTCATGATCAACGAAAAAGAGAAGGGTAGGGTAGAAAAGTAAAAATGGATGGAATCGAATCAACACAATCCTCAACTCAAAAGTGAGCTCAATTGTAAAGTCAATGGTTGGAAGGTCGCTTCCGGGTGGTGATGGCAGGTTGCCTATTTGCAAGTACAAGATGCAACTATTGCAGTTGTCGGAGTCTCTATGTTTCTCAATAGAGTGGTGGCAGTAATATTGTATTTTCGATGGCGGCGAGAGATTGTGGGAATACAGATTTCTTGGATCTTTTGATTGACGTCAGAAGCGAGCTTCCGGAAGGCTTCTCAAGCTTAGAGTTAAGGATCTTCAGCCTGAAATATCCGCTGCGTCGATCGATCAGACGATCCATGGTTGGCTTTTGGGTTGTGCAGGTTGTTCAGTGCACTTGACCATGACAATCCAATCCAATCCAATCCAATCCTCGCTGGCATACTGAGAATGGCACAATGGTTCTGTCTTTTATCTCTGGCGCTATTGTCCAGTGGGACGGGATTTGTTGGAGTTACCCGTCCTTCAGTACGACGACGGATCCGTTTGTCCAATCATCAGAGTGATGCATCGTCGTCATTGCAGGAAGCCTACCAGGAAGCGCGTGAGATCAGGACACTGCAAGGTCACGAATCTGCCCTTTTGCGTTACCAGCAAATTTTGAAGGACAACCCTGACGATTGGACTGCTGGGACGCGTATTGCAGCAGCACAGAGCTCGCCTCGGAGACAGGATCTAGCTTGCAATGCCACATTAGACGATGTCATGTCCAACAAGTCGGAGATCCAGCTACTGCAAAAAATGCTGAGCGAGCACAACTATACACACCAACGTATCTGTGATTTCTTTGGCATAAAAACTAAGCACGAAGATCCAACATCGTCATGGTATTGTTCTTGTGAAGGGGGTCCTCTGTTTCTAACCCCAGCAACCCCGGGGTCTGTCTCAAAGTACAATCATCCATTGGCGGCACACCAAAATCAGAAACAACAAGTTCCTTCTGCAGTAGCTTGCCTTATAACCTTATTCTTGCTCAGCTTGGCTGTTCCCAAGAAACTGCTAGAAGCCTCAATCGGTGAAGAGTCCATGCAACGAATGCAAAAAGTGGGATGGGTCTATCCCTGCGAAATCAACTCAGAGTTGATGGTTCCATACGTCCATGTCTTTCCAGTGGACTTCGTGAGCCCAATCGCCACCGTCGGGAGGAGAAAGACATTGTGGTTCGTCACGGATTTGCATCCACGAGTCCTCTCCGCGACAACTGTGGGCACTGGCACGGATAAGGGCAATGCGGTCATGTACATTGGACCCGATTCGCTAGCATTGGCACAACACTTTGATCCTTATTCATACTTGTCACAGAGGAATTGTTACAGTGATACGACGTCACCACCCACCATACTAAATGGACTAGATCTTTGTACGGGAAGTGGCATTCAGGCCCTTGCAGCTATAACGCAATGGAAACTGAAGCTAGAGTCATCGTCGGCAACCTCCTCTCGCCACCAAACCAGGCTCCACATGACGGCCGTCGACATCAATCCACGAGCACTTCGTTTCACTCTCTTCAATGCCATTCTCAACGGATTGGAGCATCATATACAGCTTGTACAGGCTGATCTCGTCTCGGGGAGCATCATTGTTGGCAAAACCCACGATCAACAGAATTTGGAGGACTACTTTCGGGAAGGGAACCGCAAGTATCAACTCATTCTGGCAAATCCTCCGTTTCTCCCAGTGCCTCCTCCGCCAAGTGATGCCCACAAATCTTCGTCAGAAATGGTGGATGCAATAGACCAACGGTATGGTTTGTTCTCTTCTGGGGGGGCCTCGGGAGAAGTCGTCCTGCAACGAATAATAGAAGTTGCCAGTCGACACTTGGAGGTGGATGGGGTCGCGGGGGTTGTGTCGGAATTCTTTCTGCAAAGTCAAGACCCACACTACGAACGTTTCTCCAAATGGTGGACGGGTGTGCAATCATCATCATCCAAGGCACCAGGTCGAGCTGTACTTTTTGTCAATGAAAACCCCATTACAGCACAGGCCTACGCAGAAAGAAGGGCAGACAATCCACAAGAAGCAGAGGTTTGGATGGACCACTTAAAGTCACTGAATGTTACAACGGCATCGCCTGGGATGCTCTATACCCAAAAGCAACCACCACCAGCGGCCATGCATCGCGATCTGGACTTGATGATTGTGAAGGTACCCAAGACAAGTCAGGGCTCTGTTTGGACGCCCTCCAACTATGATGCAACTCAGTACACGCAGCTCACTACTCGAAAAATATTTGACTGGCCTTTGAATGGAGACCGGTGACTAATTTGTCAAACCAATACTACTAGGGAAGATGTGCGTGATTTGACGTCTAAGGCGCTCAGCCCATGTAGATGTTTGCATGACATGCAGTTCAGTGCTCCTTACTTCTTAAAAGCAAACCTGCAGGGTCAATCATCCATAATGGAACGAGCTTCCTCCTACATGGTACACATCTTTGACTGCCCTCAAAAGAGCCAAATCTCTTGCATGTTACACTTGTAGAATTTCCTGCATTAACTGGGAAATCGAACCGTCATGGTTCTCGATGCAGTTTTCCCCCATGAACTTCACGATCATCCGCAGCTTCGGGTGTGAGTGTGCCTTTCCTCAAGAATAGTGTGGGCGTGGAATCAGCAAGGGCCCGAAGGAAATCGTCTAAGACAGGAGGACATAGAACTTGGTTCCCTGTTCCCGGACCCAATCAACAGCATGGAGTACTTCCACAAGAGGAGTTGATTCGATTCACTGAACTTAGGCTGGTGGGGTATTGTCCTCGTCGCTGTCGTTATTCTCGCCAATCCGATGACTATTGGCGGATTCTGTTGTTGACGCAGATGAAGACGTCTCAGTTGCTTGTGCCGTGTCTTCGGCACCAACTTGATCGGTGTTGTTGCCGTCATTGGATGCCCTGAATTGAAGGACCATTGGAGGAATAAGAAACTCCTTGCGGCACATGGGGCACTCGTACCGCTGCAGAAGCCATTGGTAGACGCACTCCCTGTGAAAGACGTGGGGGCAGTTGGGGTTGTTCGACTTGGACACGAGATCTCCCTCTCGGAAATGAGATAGGCAAATGGAACATTCGCCATCACGGATGCTGCCGTTCATCGATACAAGGATTTCGCCATTCTCGACATCTTGGCTCTCTGGATCTTGTGTAGTCTGCAAAGTGTCTGCCATTGTGCCATCATCGCCATCTTTCTCGCCATCTTCCTGCAAGTTCTGGTGTTCCTGATGATCAGTGGTCCTTTGAGCTTCTTCTTCTATTCTCCAAGGGTAAGATTGCAAGGTTTGATCAAGAAACATTATTCGCAACTCTTCGCTGCTGAGTTTCCTGACGGTAAGTTGACGGTCTCGATGAATGTGACGTCTCATGTGTCGAATAATGCTCGTTCTAAAGCACACTGCCATCATTGTTCCGAGGAACAGAATGACAAACCAAAGGGCGATTTGCCATGAGGAATATCCATCCAGCTCACTGCTGCCCGAAGCCTGCGGGCTTTCCATGGTTTCGTTGTAGGGCATGGTCAATATCGTATTTTAAGTCTCGCTACCACAGTGGAAATGCAACACCAATAACTTCTGTCGCCTTCATCATCTTCTGCTCATCACGTTTGTGTTCCATGTTCCATTGCATCATTGCTTCGTCAGCAGCAAAAAAGCCAGCGAAGCCCTTTTAGCATACACGGACCGGTAAATGTGAACCTTGGCGTTGGCCTCCACAGCTCTGCAACTCCCTCCTCTTGGCCCACACGAACATATGGTGCCTTATCCAAGGACCGACAGAGGCTCAATCTCTACCATAACACTGGGACACGATCTCGGCCCCTCGCGTAGCTACTACGCCAACAGAAGGAGATCCATTAACGGAAGATGAAGCGAAAGAAGGATCAGACTTATGGCGGGCCAGAAGGAGCCCCCCGAGGGGGTTGCGTTCGGCCATGTATACAGTACCATACACAATTGACTCTATCGTCTAGCTAGGTCTATTAGTAGACCCTGGCACTTGCAGCTTCAATGTTTTCTCAAATGCTCGAAGCTGATCTTGAAACCCGCCGTTAGGAGACACACAGGGTCTCCTCCTTCTGACTCTGGCAAGTGCTTCATCATACTGAATTCCTTGCGAATGCATCACATAAGCGACAACCGTGGCACCTGACCGGGATATACCGGACACACAATGTACCAGAATACCCGAGTTATCATTTTTGGCCTGGTCAAGAAATTCAAACGCTGACTTCCAGTGTTGTTTCAAATCCTCCGAGGGATCATCATCGACATCGATTTGCTGGTATTGAATGCCTTCATGGTGCGTCATTCGTTCCATGTGAGTGGCGACCGTCAGAATACGGCGGATACCGTGCTGGAGCAGCCAATCCCGATCCAATGTACTTCCTTCTCCACCCAACCATAACAAGCCGTCCATGATTTCACTGGGTTCCTCCCATTTCAGTTTCCGGGTCACTTTCATATCCAGGTCAAAGGCAGAGTCGTAACATGGGGGACAGATGGGAAACGCTTTGTACTTGGAGGGTACCTGAAATAAAGCGTCACAGAGAGTACAGCGTGTCATGGCGTTGTTGTTTGGGGACTATATAGCTGTTGTTGTGGCTCAACAGTGGCAACGAAGTCGGAACTTTGAAATACGTGGATCCAAGTTTGACCTCTGCAAGCCATTGAAGCGGTAATTACACCCATACAGTCCCGTACCGGTACGGTACGCACGGTGCGGCACGTGCTCCCAAGACACAGGCTGTACTAGCTAGTATCCGCGACAAAAACCAAGACACTTCTCGTGTCATTTTTTTGGCCTCCAACCTGCATTGGAGCAGAAGCAGCAGACACAAAATTAAAGTAACACAGCAAAGTATTCGTAGTAGCGCCATGATGGAAAGAAAGCCCACTTCTCTCGCCGCCGTGTTGCTATTCCTGTTGATTTGTTCTCATGGACAAGCCGACGCTGCGAAATGTGAAGGACTCTACGCTGCCAGTTATGATGCGACGGCAATGCCCTTGACATGTGGACCCTTTGCTGGAGATCCAACGCTGCACGCGATTGTGTATGGCTGCAAGAATCTCAACCAGGGCGACACGCCCGAAACAGGATCCACGGTACAGACATTCACCCAGATTTGTACTGCCGAGATTGCCAGTGACACCAACTACACGTGCTATGAGTTGGCGGCCGACACCGATTATACCGCATTTGAAGCTGCCGTCGCTGCCAATGACGTGTCATCATGCTCTGGCGAAGACGAACCGGAAGCACCCATTTATAGGTACCTTCAGACCACTGCCGAGTACACCTTTTCCGGCGAAGCAGGCGGTCAAAGCACAGCAGGACCCGCCGATGCCACATTCCGCACGGACTTTGCTGCCGAAGCCTACTACGTCGTCACGGTCAAAGAAGGCGAAGCTCTGCAATATAACGATCCCACGGATGCAGCTCCAATGGGAGATCACAGTGATAATGGTGGCAATACTACTGACTCTGGATCCGATGGCGGAGATGGTGAGGGAAGTAGCGGCAGCGGTGGAGATAGTGATGGAAGTAGCGGTGGCGATGGTGAGGGAAGTAGCGGTGGCGGCGAGAGCGATGTTAAGGAAAGCTCCGCGGGGGTGCAACTTGGAGGTATGACAACAATTTTCTATTTGACATTGCTTGGTTGGGTGATCACCAGCAAGAACAACTAGCTGTATTTGCTGGAACTCGGAAACGTGTCCTGTGACGGTGCCGAAACTTTGATACCAGCGAGTCCAGTCAAAACCATTTTAAGCAGTAACGACGCTGGCTGTCTACATGTAGATGAATCCACCAACCTGTTTTGAATCTTTCCGAAATAGTTCTCGAGCGACAAATCGCAAGAATTCTTCGTGTTGTTGCAACGAGGCCCCATCGTACCGGTAGAACCGTAGCTAGATAGATGTTGCTGTTGGTACCGGTATCTTTATCCGAGTCCCTTTGGTTCCAGGGCAAGAACCTCTTTGTGCTGTATCTTTACCGTTGTCGCCCATAGGTTCAAGTCTTATCGAAACAAAACTAATTCAATTCTTGGTTTCGCAGGTGACTATGGCAAAGAGTGTTGACTTGAATCAGGATTTGGGGCCTCTGGCCGAGAGCCACGGTGATCGACGTGGCCGGAACGTGTATCGGTACGAGTTGCTTCTACTGTTCTGAGCGGTGGATGCATGCAACCACATCACAATAAGCCAATAGCTAGCTAGCTGAGGTAAGGGGAACATGAGCAACTGTCCTACTTTCGATTCAATTTCTAACCTTACCACACATGATGTTTGTTAGTTTCCTTCATCATGAGACCCAGGGCAGTCATTGTCACGTAGCCACTGGATCACTTCGGTTTGGTTAGTCTCGCAGGCAAATTGATATGTCTCTTCATTCCACGGACAACCATTTTCTCTTAACCATTGGAGCAATTCCAAATGGCCATTGCGAGCAGCATAGGAAAATGTCTGTTCATTCCATGGACAACCGTTTTCAAGAGCCCACTTCAGAATTTCCAAATGTCCATTTTCAGCAGCATCGCGACATGTCTCTTCATTCCACGGACAACCATTTTCTCTTAACCATTGGAGCAATTCCAAATGTCCATTGCGAGCAGCTTCGGCACATGTCGCTTCATCCCATGGACAGCCATGTTCTCGAGCCCACTTCAAAATTTCCAAATGTCCAAATTGAGAAGCCTGCTGGCATGTGCCTTCATCCCATGGACAACCATGTTCTCGAGCCCACTTCAAAATTTCCAAATGACCATTTTCAGCAGCTTCGGCACATGTCGTTTCATCCCATGGACAACCATGTTCTCGAGCCCACTTCAAAATTTCCGAATGTCCACTTCCAGCAGCAGCACTGCACGTCCGCTCATCCCATCGACAACCATTTTGACAAGCCCACTTTACAATTTCCAAATGACCATTTCGAGCGGCAAACCAGCATGTCCATTCACTCCATGGACAACCATTTTCACGAGCCCACTTTAAAATTTCCAAATGTCCTCCTTTAGCAGCATCATGACATGTCCATTCGCCCCATGGACAACCATTCTCTCTTAACCATTGGAGCAATTCCAAATGTCCATTTTCAGCAGCTCTAGCACATGTACCGGAATTCCATGGGAATCCTTTTTGATGTGCCCACTGCATGACCATAATATTTCCAACTTTGGCAATGACATTGCAAACATGACGATGACCAGGTTTTTTGTTGCTGGATTTTCCCCTGAGCCAGTATTCTGCACGTGGCTGGTTACAGAATGTTTCGCTGCAAAGAGTATCAGCGACTTCTGCAGAGCGAGATAAAGGGGCAACCCATCCAGGGTCATTCTTTACCTTTCTTGGGTTTTTCTTTAGTTCAGTTTTGCAGTATTCTTTGTACAGTTGATTCATCTTCTTGTTGACAGCTCCTACGAAGGCGTACTGTCCAACACCAACAAAAGGCAGAATGCCTTGGACCAAAATCAGATCGTCAGCCAATAGAAGCGGATCGAAGTGAGGAGACATCTTTTGTTGCTTCTGATTGTTGCTTGCGCCGCCGCTACTGGCAGCAGCAGCGGCACTATCAGAAGACATGATACTAACTGGTACCAACAGTACTGGGACCGGTGAAAAGTTGACCGACGACTTGCCGCCATGGAGAAGGCGGCAGCTTTTTAAAAGGCGCTGTGGTGGCCTCCGATCTCCGAAGCACCGTGAATATAAAGCCCGCAGAGCTGTCTATGTCTGTATTCAGCTTTGCCGGCTTTTTCTGGTTTTAGAGTGCAGCCACGAAGTTCGAAGTCGAATCCACGAAAAGCAGCACCATGACGGATTGGCACCCATTGCGTCCATTGGATGATACAACAAGCACTGCTTGGTCCACATACAATGAAGAAGCTGAGAAGCGCGCTAAGAATATCCCTTGCGCAGCAATGCCATCGTTGGATCACCTCAAAATGAAAGATTTTGAAGAGGTGTATGAACCTTCCGATGACACTGTAAGAAACGACTTGAAAAAGGTTGAAGCAGCATTGCTAGCGGGGTGGTTCAGTGTTTCCTTCTCGCTAACTAACGGCTCTCTTTACGCATAATCCTTTTTTCGTTCCATATGCTTTGACAAAAGTATCTCCTGCTGGATGGCCTGCAACATGAAATCACAACAGGCACTTTTTCTAATTCTTCTTCCCCTCTGATTGCAGAGATTGGTTGTGGCACAGGAGTGGCGTCTGTCTTTTTGGCTTCTCAACTATTTCAGCAGAATCAGAAACATAACAAGACTGACGGAATGCCAATGGTTATTGTAACAGATATAAATCCCAAGGCTCTGCAAGTAGCCAAGGCCACAGCTGCAGGTAACAATGCCATGATTCCCTTTGAAGCAGTTCAGTGCGACCTGGTATCGGCATTATTGCCACGTTTGGCACAATCTGTCGATGCACTGATATTCAATCCACCCTATGTTCCCACACCTGACGATGAAGTTGGCAGCACAGGGATTGAAGCTAGTTGGGCAGGAGGAGAGAAGGGGAGACGAGTGGTGGATCGGGCAATTCCCAAAATGGCACAAATTCTGGCCCGGCCACGGGGAGTGGCGTACATGATCACAGTTGACGACAATGAACCAGAGGTATTGGCCACCTTATTTCGAGAATTGGGATTGCAGATGAAGCCACTCGTCAGACGGAGAGCCCACAATGAGTTTTTGACACTGCAAAAGATTACATGGACAAAGATAGATAGCAGCGGCTAGCTCGCTGGTAGGAGGCAAACGTAACTCAGCCTAGTTTTCAACTAACTTTGCCTTGCTACCGGCACCCAAACCATGAATAGATGATTGTTGTGCAGCTCGTTCAACCAAGGCCGGGTCTCACACTCAGCTCAAACCAATGAGTGCTCAAACCAACGACTGCAGCAGAGCCTTTTGGGCAGCTGCATCACCTCGTTCTTCACGTGGTTGCTTTTGTTTCTTGTTGTGTTTCTTTCGCTTACTGGCAGTAGAATCTTCTTTTGGTGTCGTTCCTTCCCGTTCCATTCGTTTTCGCTTACGTTCTTCAATACGATCCAATTTCTTTCCAGTCTCGACCAGTTCGACATAGGATGCATTTTCTCTCCGTGCTTGCAACATTTCCACTCGTAGCTTTTGTTCTCGTACACGGCGTTCATACGCAACCTTTTCGGTTAAATGAGACCATTTGAATTTGTGCAAGTACTTGAGATTCCACAAGTCGCCTGAAAAACAAACGTGAAACGAGACAGGTTAGGCGAGCAATGAAACCAAAATGACAGTTCAAATAAATCAGATGGTTGTACAGCGACGTTCTTGTTGACTTTTGTCTAGACTTTGTTTGGTACGCACCATAATGAGAGCTCCGTTTGTAATTGGAGATGGGTGTTGTATTGAGGTTCTGTGCCACATGCTTGGCAATGCTTTTCTTGGCGAATTCGACCCATCCTTCGGTATATCGTTTGGAGCCACTTCCACCTTGTTTTCGTCGTCTCTGGCGTACCGTCTTGTCTTCTTCTACCAAGTATACTCGCGTAACTTCTCCAAATTCCGACAGCAGACTCTTGAGTTTGGTGGGTGTCATGCGAGGAGGTACCCGTGCGACGTAAATGACGCCTCGCTTCTTGAGTTTGACATTGAAATTCTCCGTCTCGGCGAGCCAGTCTTCTCCAAAAACTTGTTTCGATTTCTTTCTCTTCTTTTTGTCATCTTTGCTCTTGTCTTTCTCATTGTCACTGTCGCCCTGTTCCTCCTCTTCCTCCTCGCCATTGTCATTACTTTCTACGTGCTCTTCATTTGAATCTTCGTGATCACTGCTTTCGTGCGCAAGGTCTTGACTTTGCGACTCCTTAACTGCCTCATCTGCATCGGAATCGGATTCAGAATCAGAGACTGTCTCCTCAGGCTTTGGGAGGGCCTTCTGCTGTGCCTTTTTCTTCTCCTTCTTGCTCATTTGGTGGTACAGGAACAATTATTGGTGGGCGCAGAAAATGTGAAGAAAAAGGGTTCAGACGAATTTTGGTGGCTGCGATGCTGCGATGATGAGGATGACGGGGTGTCAATCAATGAGCCGGCAGGGTTAAACTACACAAGTAACGAAGCAGAACACGATCTTTCCGTTAGATTCAAGTGCGTGTTCTCATGCATGATCAAGGCGAAGACATCACCAAGCTCCGGGCATGCCGACCAAATTGTTCTGTCAAACTCAAAGAACGTTTCTATTAGGAAGGATATAGCTGTCAGTACATTATTAGTATCGCAGACCTCTTGCTGAACAGAGGGATACCAATAATATCACTAGACTAATTTGGATACTCCATCTCCAAGCCGCACTAAAGGAGGGGATACCCTTGAAGCTATTGTTTGTGGATTCTATTCCAACGGTACCTTCTATGCCTCTGTGACAACCCATTGTGTCTTTCTACTACTTGAACAGTAAACAGTGTACCGGTAGTGAATGTCAAAGATACGACGGATCTTTGTGACTGACTGCTAGCTAGAGCTTTGTACAAACAGTCATCAAGTCGGAGTATTAACCCTCGTCTTCCTGTATAACTGCTGCCAATACCTCTTCATCATTCATATTTCTAACATCTCAGCGAAAGAAGAACGGACTTGAATATTTGACATGGACAATCTGTTTCCAAGATCGGCTCCTTTTGGAGGTTGGCCGTCGAATGCTCGTCATATCTCGGGAATGATGGGTAGCACCAACGCCCCCAATCATCACCCACTCTTGTTCCAACACCATAACAATTCCAATTACTTTTGTTCCAATGGATTGACTCCCACCAAAATACTCAATGAAAAAATACGAGCACGAGATTGGGATGCTGCTCGAGTCCGTGTCTTGTCCCATCCGTGGGATGCCTTTTATCGAGCCAAACCCAACCAGAGGAATCACAACAACAATACAAGCAACAATAATAATGCCACTCCACTCCACTTGGCATGCCTCTATCGAGCACCCTTGGATGTCGTGCAACTACTATTGGATGCCAATCCCCAAGCCTTGCTCTGTCAAGATTCCGAAGGATGGACACCCCTGCATGTCATTCTCTTGTATGGAGACTCCGAAGAAGTGGCACTAATGCTGATTCGACGAGGTGGAGCGCAAGCCGCAGCGGTCCAGAGTCGAATTGTCGGGGCTCCCTTGCATTTGGCATTCCGACATGGATGTTCCACCACCATTATCAAGGAACTACTACGCGTCAATCCCAAAATGGCCACCACAGCCAACGAATACGCTACCAAACCGGCCAGAATCCTGTGGTATCAGTTTTCCAGGAATCCGGAAAATGAACAATTGTTGCAAGAATTGGCAGCACAACAGCAACGAGACATGTCCACAGTTATGACCACTCGTCAAGAAGAAAGTCTCCGTGAATTGGTGGAACGGTTGACCTTGCTGGTCCTTGCCGCCAAGGGGAAACATCATCATTATAATCCACGTTCGCACAGTAAAAGTGCTACCACTATTCTGCATGACGTTGTCATGGCCACGGAAGAAACATTGGGAGACTTGAGTCCCTTTTTGCCTCTCATTGTCCTGTTGCATCCCGAGTTGGTCCGAACTACCGACGACAGTGGAGACTTGCCGCTCCACAAGGCTGCTTCGTACCGACCAGCCAGCTGCAATGGCAGTGGCCTACGAAGGACTGCCTCTATGCCTTCTCTCGCGGCACGATACAACCAACATGGTGCTACCAAGGATCCAGTGGATGTACTCATCCAGAGTTATCCACTTGCGGCCAGTATCCCCAACCGGTTGGGTCATTTGCCACTGCACATTGCTCTTTCCAGAGGACAACGTACGTGGAGGACAGGAGTTTCCTCCATTCTGTTGGCAGCGCCGCAGGTGATCTTGACTTTGGACTCTGAAACTCAGCTATTTCCGTTCCAGTTGGCAGCGGCAGCCATGGCGTCTTCCAGTATGGAAGAAGCCAACGAGGATGAGGATACAAGAGATGACACGGAACAGGCATTGGAAACCATATTGGAACTCTTGTTGGCATGCCCTCATGCCATGCCAGCACCTTCCAGTCAGTAGCCAACTGTATCATGCTTGGAGTTTGGCTCTTTTATGACTGATGCGACAACATTACAAGAGGAGGAGGTTGACGTGCTTTTGCTTTGGATGTTCTGTTTGTTGTTAGTGTTTGGTTGACTTGACTGTTTGGTTGGTCCTTCGAGTAGTTCAGTTTTAGTGCAGTGTGAAAATGCGGTAATTTAGTAGTGGGGGAGAGTCTAACGGCAGTTGCAAATGTCGAGAGGGTGTCATGCTACCATAATCTTCAGTCGTTTAGCCACTCCTGAAAGCAGCTGGGAGCAGTAGCAGTAGACAATGTCTCACCCTAGGATTGACATCACTAGCGCTGACAACCACATGAGAACCACCATACTCATGTACATCCAAACGAAGTAGACAAGGACAAAAAGGACGATGGTAGTGGTGCCCGTGGTACTGCTTTTGCTGGAAGCCGTTTTCGAGGTGAGGATACAATAAGTTGACCCTTCTCAGTTGCGTTGTTTTGCAAAGTGATGTCATCATACTCTAAAACTTGCACGCGTCGTATCAGGCTCTTTTGCAAGGTTCTTGCTCTACCTCTCCTTGCTCCTTCGTCTTGGGCCGTGTGCTCAGCAACTAATTGGTGTGGGAACATTGTAGGCCAGAAAGCCTTGGGGCAATGGAGTGAATTCAACGAAGCCTCCTTCTTCATCAGAGGAATCATCGTCAATACCCACAGGAGCGGATTTTGCTTGTGTTTGTTGTTGTTTCTTTGTGGCAGTAGCCTCCCTTGATGATGTTCCTTCTTGCGCTACCGTAGCCAGCTCCTCCCGCATCGAGAGACCTAGAACAATGACAAACAAAAACGACCCCCCATAGCCCCCCCCAAAGCTGGTGAATCAAGTCCCGTCAGGTTCACGACTGAGGACTCGACTGTCCCTCATTGACTCGGAACCAAACCCCAGCCTTATCGTGAATGACCGCTTTGTGACCGTCCCGGAAAAGATCGTGCGAACCCCACCTTGCCGTTTCTTTTCACTTCGTTGCCGATCTTGATTTTCTTTGCTTTATCGCTGCTTGGGATCTTGATCTTGCTTGGATGCAATCATTCCTTCCGTTCAGGTCCATTAATTTTTGTTTCCCACGGCCAAAAGCATTACTTTGGATTCTAATCTAATCTAATCTAATCTAATTGATTGACCATGCCATCTGACGAGAGTTTGCTGGAACAAGCGGAGGAATGGAAGAAGAAGGGCAATGAAGCCTTTTCCAAGTCCTCCGTGGACGAAGCGATCAAGGCATACTCCCAAGGTTTGGTCCAAGTGGATCGTATGATTCCTGCTCCCGTATCGCTCAAGACCGCCCTCTTGTCCAATCGAGCTGCCTGTTACTTGAAGGTGATGAATTTGGATCCTTGTGTGGAAGACTGCACCACGGCGATTGATTTGCTTCAATCCACCTCCAGCGAGGAACCCAAACTACGCTCTAAATTGCTCTTTCGTAGAGCCAAGGCGTCCTTTATGAAGGCCAACTTGCCCATTACGACGGCGACTAAAATGAACGAGTTGTTGCAGGAAGCTGCCAAGGATCTGATGGCCTTGCTGTCGTTTGATCCCAAAAACAAGGATGCCAGTATGTTGCTGCAAAGCATTCGAGCCCAACATGCCATGACCAAACATTCTTTAACACCGCTTTCCAAGACGCTCGAGGCAGTCAAAGATTTAAAAGACAATGAGACAGATCGTTTGCACAAATTAAAAATTATGGGAGGACTCATCGACACGGACACTTCCTCGGCTAGCATGGAGTTGGGTCGTTTGGATGGCGTTTCTTACTTGCTGGGATTGGCCAAGAATTCCGAGAATAGCAAGGAAATCCGAACAGTTGCTCTCAACTGTCTGACATGTGCTGGTGGCCATCCGCCCTTTGTGCGGACTCACTTGAAGGATGTCCAAGCCCAAGTGGCAAACATTGTTCAGACGGATGATTTTTCCGATGTCGTCGTGGCAGGATTGGCAGTTTTGGTCAAGTGTTTGTTGCATCTCGACCGTGACAAGGAGGATCAACCTGTGGTCGAAAAATCCAGTGTCAACGAGGAGGCAATTTTGGATGCCTGTATTGACATCCTCAGCAAAACACAAAACAGTGAAACCGATGTGGCCGTCCGTGGTGTCATGGAAAACATTTCGATGATGATGTGTGGCAACGATCGGACACTGGTGCTTCGAACCGCCTTGGCGGGTGGAGATGTCACCAACACGGGTGTCCTCGATGGGATTCCAGCTCCGGTCAGCAAGATGGAAATCAATCAAATGACACCCAAAGAACTGGCAACTCACCGAAAGAGACAGCGCGATATCCGACTACGGGACGAAAAATGGTCGAGACAACGATCCAAGAAATTCATCGACAAGGGAGGATTGCAGGCTTTCCTCAAGTGTGCTTCCACAGTGCAAGATCATTTTCTCAGGCGAGAAATGACTGCTGTCATCGGAAAAACTCTGTCGGCGCTCAATAATGAGGAAGAGGAGGGTTTCGATTACGCCCGGGTCAAAAAGCTAGTGAAACCACTGCTCATGGATCAACGAGACAAAATTGACGACAATGAAATGTGCACCATTGAAGAAGTCTACAACGATGACGAGGAAGCAAAGGTTCTTGAAGAGGAAGATGATACCGTCACTCTACAGAGCATGATGGAGAGGGCTGAATTGACGACAGCATTGCTGCTCTCCATGAAAGAAGTCGGCGCTTGGGCAATCTGCACAGCCTGGATGGATTCCGATAAGGAACTACAAAAAATGGTCGATTCAGACGACGACCGTGCCCTGGCATTGGCGTCCGAAGTGCTTTCGGCGGCCTCTTCGGTGGCAGAATCGAGAAACATGGTGACAATGTTGCTGGATAACGGCTCGATGGAAAAACTTCTCATGCACGATGATCGGGATATCCGTTCTGGTGCAGCCGCTGCAGTGGCGAAGCTGGGTCTGGCGGGAAAACAGAAGGACAAGGCTGATGAGGGTGATGTCATGGGAATGCTACAGGCTGCAGCCGATTTGGTGGAAGATGAGAGTGGTCAATTCGAATCCACCCAGACCAATAAAGATGCCGTTGCCAATCTTTCACAATCCTTCGGCACAACAAGTTTGGAACGCGGCGTGGAAATGGTGACGTACCTCATTTCGCAAACACAGGTCAAGGAGGAAATTTCAGGTGGGTTCAAGGCAAATGTAGATTCCAAGTACACGACACTTCAATGTTTGGTAAAAATTGCAGAGATGCCCAAAGCGGGGGAATCTTTGTCAGGATTTGGATTGGCGACAATTTTTCAGCATATGGCTGTGACTCCGATGACCATCAAGAAGGAATACTTCCAGGATAAGGAACTCAGCTCTGACGATTATGATCAGCTTCAGAGTATGGCAAAGACTCCAGAGGAAAAGGCAAAGTTCGAGCAACTCAAGGAGGATGACACGGAGGAGCTTTGTGCTGAACGCATTAGAATGATGGCAAATGCCAACGTGCCTCGGGCTCTTGTGCAGTTGATGGGCGGGGCAAGCGAGCACACCCTGGAGCAGATCATCCTGGCGTTGACACGCATGGCATCTGAACCCTCTGTGCGTGGAAACATGATCCAACAGGGCGCCCTGACAGCTTGCATCAAGTTTGACCAAGACGCAAATCCATCCGCTGCGATGAAGAAAATCATCCGATCGGCGCGTCACTGCATTGCCAAAATGCTAATCACCATGAACCCTAGTTTGCTCACATCAGCTCAAGCGATGGGATCTATCAAACCACTGATCCAGCTAATTCGTGATGTCGAAACGATCGACTTACCGCGATTCGAAGCCCTCCTGGCCCTGACCAACATCGGAGCGTCGGGAGACGACAAACAGAACAAGATTGTCGCAGAAAAAGGAATTCCTACGTTGCACTTTTCCATGTTCTCGGAACATGACTTAATCCGCAAAGCCGCGACAGAAGCGATGTGTAACCTCGTTGGAAACAGCACTTTTATGGAGTTTCTTGCAAATCCTGAGAATCTCCGACTCTGGCTCGCTTTTAGCGCAGATTATGACGAAAACTACGAGTGCGCCCGAGCCGCTGCTGGATGCCTTGCTATGGCGACACATGACCCCGCTGTTGCTACGGCACTCGTGCAGTTGCCCAACTTCCAGAAGTACGTTGATGAGCTCCTCCAGTGTGGTTCACTAGAATTGATGCACCGCGTCATGGCAGTGCTTCTGAATTGTGTATCCCAAGGAGGCGAATGCAAACAAAAGATTATCGAGCACGGTTTTGCAGCATTTTGCTTGCAGTACGTGGGTATGTACCACGATGGTCGGGCGATGGAAGAGCTCGGTTTCCCAGAAGAAGAAAAGCACATGATGCCCGCGACAGTTGACCTAGCAAAGAAAGTCGTTGCCGTGAGCGGAATCTAGACCTTAAAAGGAATCCAGTAGACTACCTGTAGTATTTGTTGACCTGAAGCTGGACTGCTAGAAAGGAAGCACATGTACTGGTACAGTACAGTACATCATGTACATTACATGTATCTGGTGCGACCACTGAAGATGACAAGCGCGGAGATAACATTCCAAGCAGACATCAAAATACGTGCCATGTTGCATGTTGCGTTGCATTCGAGTTCTGATCAAGATAAGTCAATACAGTAAGTCAGCATCGTGCTTTCGGGGCGAAGTTGTCGTATTGTGTTGAGCCGTACAGTAGGCGGCCGTATCTTTCCAGGCCGTCATCAAGAACACCGGTCCTACCTGATTGCTTTCCGATCCTGTTCGTCTTGGGGGGCAGAATCGCACGGAGATGCACAAGAGAAAAGTGCTGGGTTGAGTCGAGTCTGATGATAAAAGTCTCTATTATACATTTTATGCCGTTGTGATGTCTGGGTCGGCACAGTGCCTTTAGATGTTTCTAATAGTTTGCTTGGAGGTCTGGGCTGCAACGCCTGGAAGATGTTTGCTGTCACCAGCATGCCAGTGCCGGCCTACTCTTCTTCTTCACATTCACTCTTGTGGATGTTCAATGTGTTGAAAGAATCCCAAGGCATCTCCTTGTTCACTCCAATTCGCATCCAGTGGACTGCGATGCGCTTCACACCTTCCACGACAGGGCAACCGCTGTGTGACGTGAAGCCCGTGTCATGCAAGCGCGTCTCTGAATCCAAGTACGAGAAGAAGGCTGCTGCTCCAACCTGTGACAGTGGAGGCGTATGGATCAGATGATTGTCTTACAACAACTTCAGATGCAAAATGACGACACCGCACTAACGTACCTTTGGTTTTACAAAGACGTTTGCATTTCCAAAGTTTGTTCCACCGCCGACTAGATTGTCTGCTGTGCAGTAGCACACCATTGTGGCCACGCGACCTCCTCGCTTGTGGGGCCGGCCATCGATGTCGCCGTCACCATGAGGACGGTAGTTGTCAGGAGACTTGTCGTCTTTTCCTCTACCGAAATATTGAATGGACATCAGGTCCTCTTGTCCATCCACTTCAATGCCGTAGCCAGTTGCGTTGTTGGTGTAGGCGTAGATTCTTCGAAATAGGTTGGCAATGTGCTCGCCTTGGCTTCCCGTACCTTCCTCTTCGAATGGGATTCGGATGCCTGCTTGCATGGCCTTGCGGTGGTCAGAGAGGCGGCTACCTCCCTTGCCGTCTGCAACCGTGCCCCTATGAAGAATGGGTTTTGCTGCAGCCTCGATGGCGGCACATTCCTCTGGGCTGATAAAGTTTTCAACAAGGTGGATCTTACTGGCCTTGCGTTCATGCAACAGATGGATCTTCCGTGTGACGTTCTGATGCTCCCAGTCCTTGAACTTTTCAGCGACGGTAGTTTCAATCTTTTCGTCTGCACACGTGTAGTTTTCAAGGTTCCCCGACATGTGCTCCCGAAGACGAGTTTCGGTGCTGACCCTCTCGCTGAGTTGTTCCAATGTCTCGGCAGTCTTTCCCTCAACACAGCTCAACATTTGCTTCATAACTCTGTCACTACTGTGACCGGCAGCGAGTTGCTCTTTTGAAATATCGCGACAGTTCTGAACAATGTCGGCTGCAGCATACTGTGCCTTGGTGCTGCTGTCCCGGTGTTCTACTTCCAAGCCCTCTCGCACTTTGATGACTGTAGAGGTGGAAGACAGCAATGATAGGTATCAGAGGAGAATGAACCATCCAGGTATCTTATCGCAACCAGTAATCATTTACTTACCTTGATCATCGTTGTCCGTGATAACGACCGTGGAATATCGGCAGAGTTCTTCCGTGGTACAGTTGTCGCCGTCTGCTCGCAACAAGAAAGTGTGGTTGACAAAGGAGTTTACTCGGACGGATTCCCCTTGTCCGAGGCGGGAAAAGACCATTGGCTTTCCGGTGGAAGGATTGAACCAGTCCACCACAATGCCTTCTTCGCTGTCGTTTGAAATCATTACATTGTGTGGTCCACCGGCACCCGCCGATGGCAGAAGTGCGGCACAAATCACTGCCCAGCTGATCAACTTCATCATGGTAGTACTGTATATTGGTTGTCGAATCTCAGCGGTCTTCGTTGTGCTTGGATTATTTGGTTTCTGGAAAATGAACTCCCAACGAACGGCACCTGGTGTGGTATCTCAACACCATGTTCGCATTGCCTCGAAATGTTGGTCTTGAAAAATGTTCGCATTGAACGCCTTAGTTCTCATTTGAGCCTTGCTCGGTTGTTTCGATGTTTCGATCATCCAACCCAGCAGGATGCATGGCCGCTGAGGTGCTTCTTCATGCTGCGGCATCTGGGTAGGATTCTTATCCCCCTTGATGCTTGGATAGGATGCTGCCCCAATGTCCGATCAATAACCACCGCTGCGCAATGTGGACGGTCTCATGAAACCATGGTGGCTTCGTTGATTTTGTTTTGGGAAAAAATTGGGTGGTTGTGCTTCCTTTAACTTTAAATCTCTAGGTTCCCCTTTTGTTTTAATGCTTTCAATGTGTTAATTCTTTAGTTATTGAGAGCCCGCCTTGCTCAATCCATAATTCTTTATTTAGCCCGCCTTGCTCAATCCATAGTAACGTAGACATTGTACGGCGCTCTGCAGCAAGAGCAAGAAAGCAGCCGGAACGAAACGAGGACCCCAACCAAGGCCGAGGATGCAGCACGTCTTGTTGTCCTCTTGGACAGAATACCCTCAATAAGCTCAACAGTACAAACAACCTCATTGCAACTGTAGTGACCACTACTCACATCGAAGACTCTTGCGTGGCGTCTTCCTTGAAGGGCAGGCAGAAAAGTGAAGATTTCCGTCCATAAGCTCGCGTTTCCTCCCGCTCTCTCCGGAGGCGGTTTTCGCTCTTTTCAGCAGCGACTGCTTGGCAACAGAGGCCACGAACAGACAGGAGTGATTGTCTCAATACTGTGCTGTAGGTTTCTTTGCGACAATGGCGGATCCTGACTTGAAATCGGCCTCCGCTGTTGGGAAAGAAGAGAAAGACTCGCCCTTAGGGTTAGGGCCAAACTCGACCACTACCAAAAACAACAGCGAAGCTACGAGCACCGCAGGAGCGCCACCACCAACTCCTGCTGTCTCCGATAGTGCATCTGCTGCTGCAAAGGGCGAAGAAGTGCAAGCAGCAGCAACAACAACACCTTCATTGGCTGTCCCAGCCGATGCCACTGCAACAACAGCCATGCCAGCAGGCGACAAAGGTCAATCTGAAGCGACAACACACTCGATTCCCGCCAATTCCACGCCGCAGGCCTCTACCGTTGACGGTTCCACAACAACCACCTCGCAACCAAGCCCCACGCAGAAAGGTGGGGCCGAAGCGTTGCCACCTGCTCCCGTTGTTCGTGCTCCGAGTGAGGAGTCATCAGGATCTGCCCCACCATCTACCACTGCAGCCGTGCGAGTGCGGTCCGACGAACAACCGCAACAACAAGCACCACCGCGACCAGGCGTTTCGGCTGGTACAGCTCCTCCTGCCCTACAGAACCACGTAAGTGGCAGTAGCGACGACGATGGCCTTGACGAGTTCATTAAGAGCCCCCAAGGCCAGAATGCCATTGTGGAACGGTCACCTGGCGGCCGCTATGTTCGCTTCATGGAGAAACTTGGCAGTGGTGCCTCCAAAGACGTCTACAGAGCATACGATACACAAGAGGGGATCGAGGTGGCGTGGAACCTCATTGGCCTGTCTGGCTTGCCCAAAACGGATCGAAACAGAATCGTCAAAGAAGTGCGCTTGTTGGAGAGCCTGCACCACGAAAACATCATTAGTTTCCATGGATCATGGGTCAATCGAGAGCGACAAGAAGTCCATTTCGTCACGGAAATATTGTCATCTGGAACTCTTAAAAGCTTCATCAACAAAGTCCAGGTCATCCGATGGAAGATCGCCAAGAGATGGGCTGTACAGATACTGAAGGGCTTGGATTATCTGCATAGCCAAGACCCTCCTGTTATCCACCGTGACCTGAAATGCGAAAACATCTTTATCAATGGAACCAGTGGTGACTTGAGGATTGGAGATTTCGGTCTGAGCACTCAGCATGGAAACGGAAAGGCCCACAGTGTCTTGGGTACACCAGAGTTCATGGCGCCCGACCTGTACGAGGACAACTCTTATGATCAAAAGGTTGACATCTATGCATTTGGAATGTGTATGCTGGAAATCTTCACCCAAGAAATACCCTACAAAGAGTGCAAGAACCCTGCGCAAATCTACAAAAAGGTTTCCAACGGCGAGCTACCAGAAATCCTATCGCGACTACGTAGTAAGCACGCCAGAGACTTTGTCATGCTGTGCCTGGGAGACAAAAACGACAAGGGCGAGTACGTACGGCCAAGCGCCAAAGAGCTCTTGACTCACGAGTTCCTGATCAAACGAGGGAATGACGAGGAGGAAGTCATCGTAGACCCCCCTCTGATTAAGCGAACAATCGCAGAGAACGAAGTGCAGGCAGTTTCAAATGTCAACCCGGGTTGGTCGATACCGCCAACACAAAATGCGGTGCAGCAACAACCGCAGCAGCAAGCGACAAAATCTGATACTCCATCGGAGAAGAATCCGAGCGGGGCACCGTCGTCAAAGGCCGAAGATGACCAGGGTTCGGCAGACGGCGACGAATCGGATCGATTCGATGAAATGCCAGACAGCGAAGTCAACATTAAGAAAGTGAAAGTCCTCATGGGCCGAGGCCAAGAACTCCAAGAGGACGAAGCGCCGCTTGCTGACTCCTCGGCAAAGAGCGTCGAGGGCAGCACGCATTCGCGTAACTCTTCGGTTGATCGATTACAGGACCAAGGAGCACCCGTATTGAAGAATGGCGTGCACCCTCCACAGTCAGGTAGCAAGAATAAGGCGAATGCGGTCCCAACGGTGCAAGTTGCCCAGCCGGATCACTATCTAGTTGCGGCAGCTGTAATCGAAAACGAAGCAGCACAGACCTACACCGATGAAATGCTGAAACTCGTTGTGACGCTTCCTGTTGAAGGGCAAACGCAGAATGTTCAATTCGATTTCCACCTCGTCGAGGACGATCCTGTTCAGGTGGGGAAAGAAATGGTGGCAGAACTAGGAATTCCTCCGGGCGCCGTTCTTGAGATCAGTGAAACAATCAGCGGCCTGGCCTGTGCAGCTCGAATGCAGCGTGACAAGCACAAAGCAGCGAGGGCTCAGCAAGCTGGACAAGGCCAAGTGGTTCCCCAACAAAGCGGTCAAGGGCAAATGGTTCCTCAACAGAGCGGGCAAGGACAACTGGCCCCTCAAAGCGGACAAGGGCAAGTGGTCCCTCAACAACAGCAACAGCGGCCGATGCAAGATTTGCAGCCAGGGTTGTCCATGCAGCAACAGTCAGGCCCACCAATGTCGCAGGCACAGATGGGTGGAGGGCCACAAGACTTGCAACCTGGAATGGCAATGCCACAACAGGGAACGCAACTCCCTGATCAACGACAGATGCAGCAACCGCAACAACAGCAGCAGCAGCAGCAAATGATTGCACCCCAGCAACAGCAACAACAGATGGCACAACATGTTGGCGCCACACCAACAAATCAAATACCATCTGATGTTCAGTCTCAGCCGCCACCATACGCGCACATGCAACAAACACAGAACCACCCCCATCACCAAATGCCTGGCCAGATCCCAAATCAGCCGATGAATCAACAGAATCACTTGATATCCGACGCCCAACAACAGCCCCCTCATTTCGGTTACGACCAAAGCGCCAATACTCAACAGCCACAACTCCATCAGCAGCCCCTGAATCACCAGCATGGGAATCCATCACCGTTAGACTCTCAGTCACTGCCACCTTACGGCTACGACGCCAACCGCAGCCAAATGGCACCTGATAACGTCTCGCTTCCACCGAAGAGCGCACCGTATGCTTATGACACCGGGCAAGCCCAAAACCAAGGGCAGCAACAAGCAATGCCGCCACAGCATATGCTGCAACAAGGTTCTCTTCCTGCAAACGCTCAAAACCAGGCGCCCCCATATCACTATGAGGCTCAGCAGCAGCAACAACAGCACCATCAAGGACAAATGAACCAACCAGTGCAACAATCAAACCTGCACGCTGCGCAACAACAGCCCAATCAAGTTTCACAGCAACAGCAGCCATCTATGCCAACGAACGGCCAACAGCAAGCACATTTTCAGGGCACGCCGCAGAACATTACGATGCAGCAACAGCTTGGCACAAACGGCCACCCACAATCTGCTCCGATGCAATCACAAACGAGTCATCTGAGCACCCAGCAACCGAACAATGGTCATCCCCAACCGGCTCCGATTCAGGCACAAGCAAGCCAGGGTGGGCACTCTCACCCCGCGCCGATCCAGTCTCAACTTGGCCACGGCACATCTCTAGGTCAAGTTCAATCCATGGCTCAAGTTCCGGTCCAAGGTATCCCCACCCAAGGCCAGAGTATGCAACAACCGCAGCAAGGTCAAAGCATGCAGCAGCCCCAGCAAGGTCAGAATATCCAACAACCGCAGCAAGGTCAAAGCATGCAACAACCGCAGCAAGGACAGAGTATGCAACAGCCCCAGCAAAGTCAAGGCATGCAGCAGTCCCAGCAAGGTGTTCCAGTCCAACATCAGCAGCAAAGGCACCAACCGCCACAGCAGATTGCCTATCCGTCCAGCCCACTGCAACAACACGCACAACAGAAGAACGTTCGAGCAACCCCCGAAGTGAGCTATCAGCACGGTGTCTCGATGCCGAATGCTAATGCTCAACTCGCTGGGATGCCATCGGCTTCTGTCATGAAACGTTCTGTCTCAACAAACAGCCACTCCACGCCACAGGGGTTGAACCAACATCTTCAGCAGCAAGTTCCGTACGCAGGCCATTCAGTCAATCATGCAAACCCTGCACAGCAGCAGCTCGACCCTAGATTGCCTCCAAGCAGGCACAACAGCGGCAACGCAGCGGCCCAAGGCATGGCGAACAGGAACGGTCCCGGGCAACATCCAATGAATGACGAGAGCAGCATATCTTCGCAGGCAATGCAGTCTGATGTCGGCAAAGGCGAAGTGCTCGCGTCCGTCCTGGATGGAACGAGTGTGGCGGCCGTCAGCGACGATGATGACGAAGAGCTGCGGAAACTCGATGAAGATTTCCACAAGAATTTGCAGCGCGCAAAGAAAGTGTTCGACAATCGGATGGACAATTTGCAAAGAAGTCAAATTGAAAGAGAGGCTCAGCACAAGAAAACGCTGGAGAAGCATCATAAAGAGCGAGTGGAATTCGAAAAGCGTCTGCAGCAAGAAGAAAAGGAACAAAACCGAAGGATTGAGCAGCTGCAACGGGAGTGGGATCGGAGGCGTGAGGTCCTCAACAAAACCAAGCGAAAAGTGTCCGAGGAAGAAGGAACTTTGTCGGCAGAGGCATCCCTGTCGTCGTCGCCCGATACTGGCTTTGTGATGCCCGTGTCGAGGACGACTGAACAAGCCACTGCCGAGCATCAGTCCCTCAATCAAACAATGTCCAACGACGCCGCGAGCGATAGATGAGGATTCCTTGGCAAACCAGTATTTCCTTTGGCCAGCACCTGAAAACAGACACTGCACCGGACACAATAGATCAAAGGGGAGGAGTTCCCTCGAGGTCAAGACTTTGTCTTGGCGACGCACGCCAACGTCTGGAAAAAAGTCGGCCAAGTTGTGCAGTGACGTTGCGCCGTTGCGGGATGCGGTACGGTTTGTGTGGGTATACAAGGGTTGGACCCGAGGTATCCATTGACACTTGCCCGAACTGTGGGCCAGGTTCACTTTGGCTCGTTTGATCTTCTGATCTTCAGGTTGCCCTGAGAACTCCCTTTGTAAAAAATATATGTATTCTAGTTTACTCTAGCTACGGATCGTCCTGAGTTCAGGGGCAACGAAATTCGGATGGTTATCCCGTCGCTGGTCAACAACCTGGAGCCTGGAAGTTCGACCAACAATGCATGCACGCCCGTTTCCGTTCTGGTGCCTACACAGTAACGTTGATCAAGATAATCTAAACTTTATCTCTCCTACGACGGTCACTCCATTGACGAAACGAGCAGGCCACATTAATGGTCGGAGGACTGAGGACTCAACCTACATGTACAGTAGTTAGGTTTAGTTAGGTTCTGAGAGAGCGCCACCAAGCAAAAAGAGGGGCAGGTTGTGGGTGTTTAATCTCAGGGAAGTATTCTACACACATCACAACAGTAGATTCACCACTTTTTTTCAGGGAATATTGCTGTTTAAAATAGGGCGTTTGTTCTCAGAATGCCTTCTTTTCATGAAGAGCGATTGAATCAATTCTAAAATACACCAGGAACCACCAGAACACTATTCAGTGCCTACGGACACATCAAAGATTCCAGCGTGTCCACGCCTGTCGCCGGATTGGTTCCCTTTACATCGGGCCTCTCACATATTTGTGGGAGCGTTTTCAATGGAATGGAGGCATCTGTGAAATCAGCATTTTCCAAAGATTCAACATCCAGGAGGCTTTGACCGAAGTAAGATCCAGCGGCGATAGCACCATTGAGATTGGCTCCATCCATGCTGGTATCCTCCAAGGCTGCTCCTCGCAAATCCGCCCCACTAAAGTCCGCATTAACCAAGTAAGCCTTATAGAACCTACAACCCTGCAGGTTGGATTTTTTGAAATTGGTCCCCTTTGCAATCACCTATGGGGTTCCAGAAACAGTGGCCTGTGAGAATCGAATGAATCATGGTCCTGCCGGTCAATCTCTTCTGCGACGCTTGCTGGTGGTGCCATTCAGTTTGTTGCGACATCCACTTTCGTCGATTCTTTCCGGGGTCATCAAATGAATCGAATCTGCTCAAACACTAACCTGAGTGAAATCTTTTCCCTTGTAGTTTCCATTTGAGAAGTCTTGACCAGTAATATCCAAATTGGCGTAGTCAAGGCCACCACCACTGACGGCCCCAACAATCTGAGGAAATGCAAGGCATCCAATCAAAATGCCTTGGGCACAGTACTTGCCGATCAAGGAAGCTGCTTCCTCGTGATCATTTGGGTAATCAGCCTTGTCAGCAATCTTTGATGGGGAGGCGTTGAACAGGGAAGGGATACTGAAGGCATGCCCACAGGAGATCGCCAGCATTAAAGTCAAAACAAATCCGGCCGTTCTTGTCATTTTTCAGTATTTTGAGCTCTTCAATGATACGTATTGGAACTGTGGTAGCTAGCTCGACTAGTTAGTTGTATAAGGAAAGTGATGGACCTCTTCAAAACACTTCTGCAATTGCTGGTTTGGATGCTGATTCGATTCTTCCCGTCAACTATTAATACGGTAGTCAGTTTTTGGTGTCATCGTCGAAGATACAAAGATACCCAGCGCTGACGTGAGTCATGAACATTTCGTGACTAAAGCTACACTTTTTGGTTCCGAAGCTCACATACCGGTAGCTATCAAGACTGGCTAGTACATGTAAAACAATGTCATCGGCAACAACTCCGCAGGTCGTCTTTGCCGCAAGACCCGGACTACCGGTATGTGTTTACTGTGTTACGGTCAAGTTGGATCTGGACGGAGAAAGAAACTCCAAAACTAAAAAGCACGATCTTACTCGTCTTGGAAAATGCATAATGGTAGGCAGTGGTAAGTGGCCCAGAAGTGGAATCTCCGATCTGTGCGACCGGGCACATCTCAGCTGAAGCAAATCTCGATACGTAGTGCGAAATTCATGTTTTGTAGGTGGAAATTTCGATGGGCTTGTCCTGGCCCGCCAATGCACTCCTCTACAAAGTTCTATGCATATCTAGAGAGAAAACATTCACACGAGAGCATTGGATCATTCTCTCTCAAGTTAGAAAGATATTGCGCACGAACCTGGCTCTTTGAGGTTGCACCTATGGAGGATGTTGTTTTTGTGGAAAGCTGGAGTTGGTACCGGTACCATCTCTATGAATGCAAGCACATGTTCCTTTTGCCTTCTCTTTTCCAGCCCATCAGTTGATCCTACATGCTTGAAAGAAATCCTTGCTTGGCCAAAATTGGCGGGGATCGGATCGAGATGCTACATGTAGTTTTGCTACTAGAGTATTGAGGAAAAAAAATCCACTAGCTAGCTAGACTTTTGGTGGCAATGGTTGCGCTCTCAAGCAATTTTTCCCGCTCGTTCCTGACGTGCTAATTTTTTTCAAAATTTGGCCTCGCCCGCCTCTTTGGGTTTGACTGTGACAAAAAGAGAGCTCCGCAAGCGGTCCGGCCTGCCAATGCCATGACACTCCAAGGCAGCAACAAATTCGAGGCAGCGTCCTTGCCGATCGAATGGAGGTATCAAAGAGGTACCGGTATCAAGCAGAGCGGCCAAGGAAGGACGGGACCTTACTACTGTATAGCTAGTCGATTCCTGGAAGCTTCTTCGGCTTAACATCGTTACTACTACACACTCGAGCTCATCGTAGCCATATGCGCATGGCCCTATAAAGCTCGTAGCAACACTCGTCGACCGTTTGGGAGCAATCGGAAGCATACGGAACTGCGATTCGATTCATCATTCGATCGTCCTTCCGAACTGCAGTCTAGTCCTTCTGCTTGTATCACTCTTTGCTGTCTTCATGGCATCCGCAACAATAGGTAACCGAATGAGAATACGAAGGAGGAAGAGACCTCAGTGGGGAACGGCCATGGCGAATTGCATCCTTCTGTGGAGCTCTTCAAGTGCATCATGTACAGCCCTCCTGTTCCACAACAGCACTGCTGTATCGATAGTAGAGGGATTCTGGGGGCAACTAGTAGAGAACTCTGTTTGGCACAGAGAACGACACGACAAACCAAGCACTGTGGTTCTGGGGAATGACAATCAGCATGAGAAATGGTTGCGGAATCGCCGACGGACGCAACGCTTCGCCATGGAGGACACGGATTCTCCCACTTTTGCCCCTGTTGGTGGCTCTGCCACACTTCCTACAGGGCAACCAACGACGGTATCTCCGACATTTGAACCCACCAGCCACCTCAGACAGGCTGCGCCGGAACCAAATGTTGGAAGACCGATCCCAGTGATATCCAAATCCACCAAAGACACACCCGCTCCCTTTCAACCGCTCAAGTTTGCGGCTGTTCCAGTAGGATTTGACGTCCTTCTGGAAACAGAAAGTCAGCAAGATTTAGCCGACATGGCGCAACAAGCCAAATTCATTCTCGAAGACCACCTGGCTACTGGCTTTCAAGAGGGCTTTGACGCGGAAGAAGACGGAGTAATAGTTCGCAGCGTTGACTTGAATGTCAGAGCTTTCCTCACCAATGCACCACCATCCAATCGTCGGCGTCGACTACTCCAACAAATCAGACGGTTTCTTCAATTGTCCAGAGCCATCACTTTGGAAGCCAGAGGTGTGGCTGGTTTCCAAGTCAATAGAGCCGTGGACACCGCAGAGTTTCTAGCCCAAGTCAATGCCATCATTGATGAGGCTGTACAGCCAGAACAACTCACAACTGTATTCCAAAATAGCACATCCGGTCTCACAGATTACCGGGTATCCAGTGTCACCAATACGGAAAGCGCACCAGAAGAACAAAAGGACAATCCCACCCTAGCAGAGATTATCATCGCCATCATATTACTCGTTCTGATGGCTGCGGGGTTGGTGGCATACACCTACATTTTCTATAAAAAGCGCAAGAAACGACTCAAACGTCGAAAGCAGTTTGGTGTTGGTCACAAACCGCCGTCGCCATATCCTCGTCCTCACGGGGCTGCGGTTACACCCACCGCAAGTGCTGTGTCATCTGGAGTTCCAGCATCGCTTTCACGACCAGGCTTTCCAGCTACGCCGGGGGTTGCCCATTCATCTTCCAGTGAATCTTCCTACAAGGGGCTTGGAAGTGAGTCGGAGGAAGAGGACGCTGATGGGTTTGCCAAAGAGCTACGGCTTGCAGCATCGTTGGATCGTCGGGCATGGGATGATTTCGAAAAACAATCACCTTCTAATGACAGCAAACCCAGGGCGGAACCCAAAGGTACCTATGCTGACAACGATGTGTACCGGGACTTGGCTGTCATCAATGAAGTAGAGAACCCCTACGGCTTGACGCAAGAGATGCCAACCCAACCTGGAACCATCGGCCTTACTGTCACTGGAGATACTGTATCCATCCAAAGCAACAATTCCTTTCCGTACGGCGACGAACTCGAAAACCCTGACTTTATGGCCAGTCGGCAAATGGTATTTGGCGGCGGCAAACGTACAGACCATTCGAGTGACGGTGCAAGGGAGGTTTTCGAGGATGAGCAGGTGGAACGGGACGACACAAATGGTGGTTGGCGAATGACCAGACTGGGCAAGATGAACAACTCCAACAAACGGAAAAACGCCCCTCGATTAAGCTTTTTGTATCACGGCAGAGAAATGAGGAACAAGGAGGACAACTCAGAGTCTACATCTGCAATGGACGAAGGCAACTCCTCTGTTCCCACTTCGGGTGCAATGCGTGGATCACCCATGTCACAAAGCTGGAGTACTAACCCACCGCGAGTTGGTGGTGGAAGTAGCGAAAACGCTACATCATCCGCCATTCGTGGATCGCCACATAGCAGTACATGGACCAGTGCTAGCCGCGCTTCGTCTCAGCTTGGAGGAAGTCTTGCGGCAAGTCCAGGCTTGAGCACGGCTGCAATCAACGAGGAGGCTACATCCGTGAGTGTCTCCGTTGGTGACGAATCCATGCGCACAGCTGATATTGTTCAGGAAGTACAACGTCTGTCTCAGTTTGTCAAGACATACGAGAAGAAGAAAGAGTTCCGACTGAAAAGAGAACACGAAGGAGTTGATGACTCCCAGCTGTCCCAGTCGCTGGGATCCAGTCTCGAATACAGTAGCTCTTTGATTGATCAAGTAAACTCCCTTCAAAACGTGGTCCGCCAGGATCTGAACAAGAAGGTCCCTCCAACCGATCGACAAAACACAATGGCACCAATGACGCACGAGGCGGATTCTCTCGGTCGGTTTGCGTCTCGGGCCGTTGGAAACCGTGATTTTGATAATGATCTTCAATCCATTCAAAGTGACGACTCTAGCGACGTCGAAACGATGGAATCGGAAAATTCTCGCCGCCTCGGAATCACGCCTTTTCAGGTGCAAAACCCCAGCACTCTGCAGCGATCCCCTGTTTCATCCGTTGCTTCCTACCAGAATCACCCTGGATCTATGTACAGAAGAAACATCTCCCCGGAAAGTGCACAGCAACATACTCCAACCAGTGCCGGCAGCCAGCATCATGCTAGTGGTCATTACCATGACGGGGCAGCCAGATCCAACAGCAACAACTTGTCCTCACTGAGAACGACGGATGCTATTTTGGATGGATCACTAGAAGAAGATGCCGTGGCCCCCTCGGACGAGTTCAGACGACCGGCAACGGGCCCTGAACGCGCTCCGTTCCAAGCGCCGCTTCGGAGTCCCCAAACGATCACACCACGGCAACGGAGCAAGAACAAGGGTGGCTTCAATAACATTGTGTCCAAGTTTGAGGCGAGCAGTGCAGAAAGGGATCCTATCTATCCCCCCAGCGAGAATTGGCAATACAACTATTAAGATTTTAGTAGCTATACTGTTTTTGTCACCTTGCTTACAGTATTAGTTTCTGGTAGCCATGTACAGAAGTGTGGTTGAGTGACAGTCTACCTCCAACAGGAACGCAACCCTCATAGCCGTGTCGGTTGTGCATGTAGCTACATGCACTACCGTATTGTGCCTGGGTCGGTCAAACTCGACGATCAGCTATTTTAAATACATGCAAGAGTGTCGGTCAGTCGATACGGTACAGTCTCTGCTTGTTGAGCGCCTGGAGCAAGTAGAGGCATTTCGTTCAGAGGGAGAGCCAACGACTTCATTCTCCTCGAGTTCGAGCATCGCCCGATTTGATTTGCGACTTGTCCTGAAGGGATTTCTGATCAAGTGTGGGTCTGAGTCTGTTTTTCGTCGCGGTACCGGTGATCCGGTGATGTCAGCTAACCTGAAGGCCTTCATTCCCTTTGGGTACCGATTCGTTAGGTGGATCTTTTTAGCGGGTGCTTCAGAAATGGAAATCAACGACCACAATAACTGATGCATGGGTTCCATCTCCAACAGCATCGCATCGACCTTCGGCAAACCACAAAGTGCCATCGTTGAACCCCCGTCGCTTAGAAAGAAAGCAAGAAGAACACATCATGCCTGCTGGAAATGCTGATGCCTCCGTCGGTGCGTCGCAAGCAGTTGTGTTGTGTGGATGTCATTTATTCTAAAAGTAGACGATTGACGGGATTAGTTGATCGAAGTCGCGCTCTTCTGACTCTCAGTTGCTCCTTTGCTTTCGACATTGTAGGAATGATGACGGGGGCTTACTTTGTTGGAAAAGTAAGTTTAATAGTTGTTTCGATGAAAACAAGGGCGCTTTTTTCTGTGGGTTGTGATTGAAACCGTATTTTTGCTTTTTCTGACCATTTTCGGCTGCTTGCCAATAATATTGGCCCTCGACTTTGCGGGTTCGTACTAGCGTGAGCTCCTTGAGTTTTTCAACAGCTTGTTGGAGTAAGTTTTTGTTTTTGAGAGATGCTGAAGCTGCGACTACTAGTATCTGGGCGAGGCAGCCGCCTCACTAACCAAACATTTTTCTCTCGAAATGGCATAGTATGAATCTTTCCAAGATTGAGCAGACGGCATCTGGTGCAGTGGCCTGTCAGCTGTGTGATTGTAAGAGCCAATTACGTGCTTTTGTTACCATTCTGCCTGTATTACTAGTATAAATTTTTGTGATTTCTCACTACGGTCAACACAACCCACAGACATTTTCCCAGGCAGTATTCCAATGAAACGAGTCAATTGGGAAGCGAAGTCTGACTATGAGTACATCCAAAACTACAAGCTGTTGCAACAGGCCTTTGGAAAGAATAAAGTGCAGCGTTACGTTGACGTAGACAAGTTGATTCGCGCCAAGTACCAAGGTTTGTTCACAATTCGTAGTAAAATGTGGGCTTTTGTTGTCAAAAAAAGGTGTGGAGTCATCAAATTTGCGCTCACAACGTTTGGGCCAAATAAATAATACAGACAACTTGGAGTTCTGCCAATGGCTGAAAGCTTTCTACGATCAATCCGGTGTTCAACGACCTGATTATGATCCTGTTGCGGTCCGATCCATGGGCAAGGGAGGTAAGAAAGTAGGCAAATATGTTGCCAGCAAAACGGCAAACAGAAATGCTCCCGCCGCGTCGCGACGTCCTGCTCCAGCCAGCAGCGGACCCAAGACGACCTCTTCGAGTCCTGCCAGACCCTTGTCAGTGAGGCAGTCTCAAAATAGCAACAACAACAAGGGCAGAAACGCGGATGCCGTGGTGGCCGATGCAGCTTTAATGAAGAAGAATTCCGAGTTGGAAGGCAAGGTTGCCGAACTCGAGGGATCCCTGCTCGATATTGAAAAAGAAAGAGACTTCTACTTCCAGAAGCTTAGAGACATTGAGATCATGCTCCAAGTCCACCAGGAAAAGGGCGCAGAAGCTGGTGATCCTAATGGAATGATCGACAATGTCTTCAAAGTACTCTACGCCACTACTGAGGCTCCTGTTGTGGTGAATGATGACGGCGAGGTACGTTGCGTTGACCACCTACTGTGTGAAACTGGGACGATGGCCCTCATCAGATGTGTATGACTTTGTTTTGCCGCTACGTTGTAGATTATCAACACTAGTAGTGTGAACACAAGTGCTGTTGATGTTGATGCACTTGGCATTGTTGACGATGCAGCCGATGTGGATGATGACGACCTCCTTGAAAACACTCTGTTCGAGGAGTTCTAAATCATTGGACTATGGTATTGCTGCCAATGAAGCAACAATCGACAATTCAATCGCTTTTGCATTTCGACTGCTGTACACTGGGTGTGTACGGAGCTCTGATGCTTCTCTAAATGCGCGGCTTTTAGTTTGACCTTCAAAATAGAAGCAAGCAGCACAGGAGGCAGTCAGGGCTGTCGATTTGCAATGCACACAGTTGAAGAACGGTTCGCTGAACAGTTATGTGTTAAAAGTTTTATTAAATGTCAAAAATTTGAAACTGGTGCCTAAAGCTTGCTTCGTTGGTGTTTCTTGAAAGATCCCATGATGCGTTCTACCTGGACTTGTATTTCATTTGCTCGTTGATTGGCTTCTTTGATGACGGGATCATCCTCAGCTGCCGTGTGGCATCCAGCATAGCCTGGCACTGTCTTGGCTCCACGTTGGTCGTCTCGTTTCTTGCTCTTGAGGATAGAGGCTGCATGGACCTTCTCCAGATCCGCCATCTTTGTCAGCAATCGCGCAATCCACGCGAATATGTTGTCGCTATCCATAGGCGGAAACTCATCCAACAGCAGAGACTTTTGGTAGGACCAAAGCTCGCTCGGTGTTTTTGTCTCCCATGGGAGCAATGGCCATGTCACTTGCTTGTAAAGGGCATCGACGCTTTCCACGGTATGACCTGCTGCTACTGATGAAAATTCGTGTTTCAATTCTTGCTCTGTGATGGTTCCACCATCCTGTTGCATCATCCAAAACAGGATTCCCTCCAGAGCAAATCTCTGAATGCATTCTGTGTATACCTTGATGCCCGTTTGTCGTCCTTTTTCGGACAAGATATTGTTGCCAATGCCAGGAATGGCCCTGTCTGTGACAAAGGTCGTTGGACCTGCAGCAGCCTCCAAGAGCTGTTTTCGAGCCCAGTGACACATGTTCACCGTTTCAGGTCGAATAATTTTCCAGCCCGTGTAGTGTTTGTGACGAATGGCTTTTCGTCGAGTGGCATACTTTTTCTCAGAACGAGCAATAGTGTAGGGTGACGAGGAAAGGACCCATCCCGGAATAATGCTATTGTGGACATTGTCGTTTCCAGTGACGATCAAACTAAAGGGCATGCAGACGCGTTGGGGTGGGAGGGTGGTCCCTGCCGCCACAATGGAATAGGGCGCCATGCTGAGGTCGACCGGGTACTTGATGACGGTACTGAGTCCCCAAAAGACCCCTTCCCCCGATGCCACTTCTTGATCGGGGATGCGTCCCGTGTGGTTCGATCCAATGTTAGCTCCATATCCCACATTACCTCTTCCTAGTGGCCACAAGACACTAATGATCAAGGATTGATGATGGGCGTTGGTGTTGGGTCCCAAGATGGAGCAGTGGCATTCTCCCGCAGACACGTGTACATCAGGTCCTAGAATGGACGATGCGACGAGACTGTTCGGCCCAATATGAGCTTCCTCCATGAGCAATGTATCGGAAACATCGGAATGACTGGAAATGGAGGCCTTCCACTGCAACCGAGCATTGTGAACGGTCGACGAGTGTTGAATTGTGCTCGTGGGAAGCATGACAACGTCCTTGACGTTTGTGGCGGAATGAATGGAGGACGATGGTGCCATGTAGATCCCTTGAATAGTGGGAGTATCGCGTACAATACAATGCCTGGAAATGACATTTATTGGAATGGTTTCTGGTAGTGTGTTGTTGATGTTGTTGCTGGACAAGTTTCTCTTGGTGAGTTGCTGACATACTTGAATCATGTCACTTTCTGGTTGGACAATCAGGTTTCGTGCTCCACCACTTTCGGGTCCCACAGATAGAGCCAATTGAGAAGATAATTTTGGGTTGGCCGTGATGGCACCACATCCCATGATGACTGCTTGTGGGTGAATATGGGTGTCACAAATGGCAGTATTGCCAGTCACCCAAGAATTCGTGGCCACAATGGAGTTGGAAATCAAGAGATTGGAATGAATGCCCATGGGACACTTGGTCCATGGCTCCAACGATGAAATGGCAGTGTCATCCTTTGCGGCAGGAGGGTTTGCCTCAATAATCAGTACATTGGTTCCATCCAGATGAGTTTTGGACACCAATGATTTCAACGTTTGACTCTGATCGACACTGGCTTGGTTGGCAGGACTCAGCAATAGCCAACAGTTGGACCAATCCTTGCAAGAGCAACCACAAAATGTCTCAAGGGTTTCCACTTCGGCAGCACTGACTTTTCGAAGCGCATACTTCTGGTCTGTTCCGACGGAACGAACACCGTTGGACCAGTGCGACGACGTAAACGACCGAATCTGTTGGCTAAACTCCAATTGACGACGCCGGTCTTCGGCGGACGCCACACAATCGGCGTGGACACTCATACTCATGGGCTAGCTATAGACCCAGCTCTTTGTTGTGCTGCAAGGCAAGGAACTCCTTTAGAACTCGGGGATGGTGGTGTCAGACGAATTTTTCTGGTGGGCAGAACCCAAAAAAGGACGAAAAATAAGTCGCCAAAATCTTATTGACGTTTCATACGTGATTAATCTACTTTTGTTACACGGGACTTATCATTTCATCCAGTCTCGCAACGGCAACAACAGAGTCACGAGAGAGCTTGTTGCTCCTTGTTTTACATTCTGCCACCTCTTACCTGGGTCCAAAGCGCACCTTGATTCTAGAGTGTTGGTTGCTTGTTGTTCTCCTCTTCCTGTCCTTTGTTTCGAGGTGAGAAGTGGCGGTCAAATTTCTCTTGTCCAAAGCCTGTTGGAGGTCTTTTCGTTGGATACTGGAGATGGATTCGTGCTCTTTTTGTTGGAGGCACTTTGGCAGAGTGTCGAAACCCTGATGAAAGCACTCTCGTTGAATTGACTGTTGCTCTGCGAATTGGTCGACTTTTGTTGTTTGTATAGCTTATCCTGTCACGGGCAGGTGTTCGCAGCGGAGACGTTGTATCTTCTTATTGGTACCACAAACCAACCCTTCCGTATTGTACCGTTAGTTAACTGTTCATCATTTTATTGTTTGCTCACCAGATGCCATATTGCGATTATCTTACATTCATGTTTTTTGTTTGTTTCTATTATCACCAAGAACTGAAAAATTACAACAATCAAGATGGGTAGCTGGACGTCATTTTTCCGATGGATATTGCTGGCTGCTTGGATGGCAACCTCAGTCCACACACAAACATTACAACCACTCCAAACCGTAGCACCGCAATTCCAGACGACAACCCCCGTTACTGCCGCCACAACAAATCCCGCCTTTGCGACGACAAACCCGGTTACAACTGCCACGGCGAATCCGCAAACGGCAGCCACCGTGGCCACAATCCCACCCACCACGCTGGCGCCCAATGCGGACTGGACGGGATGTGTCGACCCCGATTCTCCTGACGAACCCATTCGAATTGGGAAAAAGACCACAATCTGCATCATATTGGGATCCAATACCAACTGGAATGCCGGAGTGCCTCCTGTCCGATACCTGCGTCTATCCTTCCAACCATTGGCAGACGAGTACTCTCGATTCCATGTGCCAAGTTGTAAGTAATCGATTTATGTATCATGGCTTGATGGAATGGAATGGAATGAGATTTGTTTGTCTGTAAGTAATGATTTCATGAGCTGACTAAGTAACTAACTGTGTTCGTCGTTTCTACATTGTCATCACAAACAGCCTACCAGGACCTTGTTACCACTCAAGCAACCCAGGTGTACAATGGAAACAACAATGTTACAATCCATGTGGCGTCGCAGAAGGTGTAAGTATCATCACCACCTTTTGTACTCTTCTAATAGTTGGAGACCCTGTGAACTAATTGTTTTTGTTTGTTTGCTTCACTCCCAGACTTTCCTTTCAACGTATCTTTTACGATCCAAACCAGGGCTCCGGACGAGTGTATCCCCATTTGACGGCCATTATTGATGTCAGGAAGGGCATTGTAGATGGTATCACCTGGGACGACGGATGTCTCTTTTGCGGCAATGACAAATGCCTAGAAAACACATACGACTTCAATGGAAACGAAGGCAACCAAGAAACATTTGGGCAGCCCACCAAGGGATGCTTCATTACTCAACCGGAATGTGCCGCCTTTTTGTTGAATCAAGAGCCACGCTGTGATGTTACCGTGTACGTAGTGTGGACTGGTGATGATGCCGATGGTAGGGCTTTGCAGTCGTCAGCATTCCGCTTCTCGTCCTTCCCCGAACAAGAGTTGGCCAACCGAATTCAGGACAGTTTGCCAGAACTCCCCTTTGGCCTGACTGGTGGATCTACCTCTGATGCAGGTGGTGCAGCCTAAGTCAAAGTAGTAGTTCTTTATCAGTGGTAGTCGAGGTATATCGGTACATTGTGCCGAAGAATACTAATTAAACGGGTCAACATAGAGACGAAAAGCATTGAATGGATCTCGATGCCCACAAGAAATACGTATTCGCCAGTCGGATGCTATGGGTAGCTGTAGGCTCCATAAAGAAAGGTACATCATACGTTTTGAAATTGCACTATTTAGCTGCTTCAAATAGGGAGCAAAAGCAGTGCGATTGTAGAGGACTACGCAACCAAGAATCTAAGATCCAACCGTTTGCACACCACCGTCATTTCTTCAGTTTCAGAGTTGCCTTCGTCTCAGATGGTTCCTTTGCTCACCACGTCTTCCGTTTCATCCTTCGTGATCAATGAACATGGTACCTTCGCTTTCACCTCATACATCTATGTTCTGTTCCACTGCAACTACCGGGTTCAATCCAACTTCACTCTCTGTCAGCATTCAGATTAAAAAGAACGAGTGACGAGTCTCAATCTGTATAGACGGAGGCGGGGCCGTTCGTGATGTGGATTACTATGTTACAGCATCTCACTCTAGTTAGCAGAGCCCTCAAGCAATCAATTCCAGAATCGTAGCTCCTATTCTGCTCAATATCTCTCCTTTCTTTGGTGTTATCATTGTTGTCGTCTCTGAATCGAATCATAGTTGCATTGCTTTTGTTCCCTGTCACATTCAATACCTAGCTAGTGGGTCTTGCAGTAAAAGTCGTCATACAACCCAGTGGGCTCTTCATCTCGTACTTCTTCCACTCCAACCACTTGGCTCATTCCAACCTTACTTCTCTTGCACCACCTCACAAATCCCTCCACCATCTTACTGTTTCCCTGCGGGTACGAGCAAGCTTTAATGTGAGCAAGGAGGCATTGGCACATCAAGCAAAGCAGATTGATAAGCTCTGTTTAGGTGTACTTGCCTCAACGTAGATTTCAGCGGTATCTGTATCATCGGGTGGTGACATGGTTCCAACTAGCCTGCGGAATCTTCCAGCCTGCAAGTGGACAGATTGTATTGAGAAGGCGAAATGTCAGCTTTTGTCATGCGGCATTTCATGGAAAGACAACCTAAATGATGCTACCAACTCACCTCGTTGAGGACACAGGAACGGTAATAGCCACCTTGGACATCTCCCTTGACGATTATTCGCTTTGCTACAAAATCATCATCACCATGGTCAGTACTGGCAAGAAAGAGTGCTGTGTTTCCGGAAGTTGTGGGAGGACTTGTAGACGATCTTGGTGTGACCAGAAAGGCGGATGCATGGCCCATGGCGAGCGGAAACATCAATATTTGTTGGCACCTCATTATTTATATCTCTTGCTTGCTTGGTCAAAATGCTTCCTTTCACCAACTAACTACTAGCCAATCTGTGGTACAGTAGAATCCCAACTGAAGTCAACTTGGGTTGTTGGTATGGGACTTTTCAGGTTGGAGAGGCTTCAGCAGTATCTTACTTGTGGTTTGTGTTGATGCCAATCACCAATCCTTCAGCCTTCGGCTGCAAATCCTTTGGTACGTCACCCCCTTGTCAAATCAAAGATCGCGACAGAAAGACAAAGAAGAGAAGCCTGTCAGAAAGGTATTTTCGTATGACGGACAGACGACTCGGGATCCACAATCACGGTTCGTGATTGGGGATGTGTGACTCAAATCAGATGGTTATCCGATCATCATCAGATGGCCAGGTGTACGAGGAACGAGGACAATGGTCGTCTAGATGATGCAACTACAAAGGTTAGGAAGTTAGGTCGAAGAGATGAATGCAAGGAGCGACGGGATGGAGCAAATGAATGGACGGATGAAGGTCCATAGGTTTAGTAAAGTGGGAAAGCCCTCCAGGGCCAACCATGCACTTCAGGAAGATAGATCGACGAGATCTATCTGTAGATGAAACTGCGAGAAGCAGAGGATCGAAAGATCCTGGTATATGTATGCATATCGGAGCTCAGTTGTAGAGCTCACAATCTGAACGAGAGAGAAAGCGAAAACGAAACGAATAGCCAGTCTACTAGACAGTAGAGCTGGAAGGATATTGATTAAACTTAGAGAAATTGTGCGTTCAAGTTCACACCTTTTCAACACGTTTTAAAACGATAGCTATCAGGAAAGAGTGAGCTTGGATCCAGGTTGTCAAACAGAAAGGAGAAGAATTGAGAAGTAAGTAAAGATATGTCTACGGAGGAGAGGTATCATCGTCGAGCAAGTATCCCATCTTCGATGGGAAAGATGAGAAGTTCAGGTTCTACAAGGTCAAGATGATGGCCCATTTATCGAAGTATGGGTACGTAGAACTGATGAAGACTCTACGGAGATCAAACCGGACAACTGGAAAACCCTACAGGTACGGGCAAGTTGTCGGACGAACGAAGTAGAAAAGATCGAAGTCTGCAGAAAAGAACAGCAAGGCTGCTGGAATACTGCTGGATTCGATCAATGTGGAGACCATCGAAGGGCAAGTCGCCTCGACCTACTGGCCTCACACCAAACACTGACCATGCTGCTGGGAATTCAAGGGCATGTGGGAGTCCATGCTGGACCTCTACGATGCGAAGACAGTGGTGAGGTAGCAGCTCGACGAACGGAATACTACGCGATAAAGATGGACATCAAGGAAAACCCAAGAAGTTCGAGATTGGACTCGACGTGAAACGCAAGAAGCTAGCGAAGGATGGGTTCAAGATATCGGACGAGAGTACATCAAGGACCTTCGAGAAGATGCCGAAGAAGGAAGGAGAACTCGGAGTGACCATGAAGTGAAGAAGAATTTTCTGCGAAGGATCAAGAAACAGGACATGGAATAACGGTAAAGAGTGTGGTGATGATTATGCGAAATCTACGATGAGATTAAAGCACGGAACAAGTCGACAGACCACATGGCGAAACAGCTTTCAGATTGGAGAAAACAATTCAAGGGCAGATGCAGGAACTGTGGAAAGATCGGACACAAGCAACAAGATTGCCCAGACAAGAAAGGCTCGAACGGAAGAAGCTACGGACAAAGGTACCAAGGAAAGTCAAACGGTAAATTCAGCAGGAACAATGGGAGCAGTAGCGGATTTCAAGGAAGAAGAAGTTCAGCGGAAAGTGCTTCCACTGTGGAAAGATTGGGCACAGGAAATCGGATTGCCTAAAACTCAAAGTGGAACAACGAAATGAAGAAGGAGCAAACACACACAAGAAACAACGGAAGAGAGTGGCATTCATGACGATAGCGAGAAATGCATGCCATGCCGAGGAGTAGAGTTGTCAGACGATGAAACAGGAGGAGTAGAAGAAGCATCGGAATATGAAGGCAAAGAATGGGACGCGTTCTGGGAGATTTTGAAAGGGAGATGACGTGGATGAAGATGGAGAAACTCAAGGTCTGCGCAAGATCAAGAGATCAAGAATGGAGGAAGGGAGACGATGTGTCAAACACAAATGGGTGCTGGAAATCAAGCGGAATGGAAGATTCAGAGCTAGATTGGTGGCCTGCGGCTACAGTCAGGTACCCGGAATTGATTTTGACACATCTACAGTCCGGTGGCTAACGACATCACCTTCCGCATCATCTTGATTCTACTACTAAAGAAGATGGGAAGAGCGAAAGCATTATCTTCGATATTGAGACAGCATTCCTACATGGAGACATGGACGTAGTCATCTACATGGACTGCCCAAAAGGACTAGAACACCAAGACGACGAATGTGTCATACTGGACAAGACCATCTATGGTGCTTGCCAGAGCGCACGACAGTACTACTTGAAGTTTGCGAGTGTCCTGGAAGACTTAGGATTCGTTACATGTCTAGTGATCCATGCCTCTTCATGCGGAACAAGAATGGGAAGATATGCGTGTTCTATGTTACGTGGATGCAATCTCACCATTGGAGAAGAAGACGATAAGGAAGTGCTTCAAGGTTTAAAGATCGAGGCTTGAACATGACCATAGAGTACGAACTCACGGACTCCTGAGCTGTGAGATTCGGATGAATCCCCGAAAGGATGCGCATGGGTGGGACAACCCACATGATTAAGAAGATTCAAACCACATTCGGAAAGGAGGTACAGAAGCTACCCAAGTACAAGACTGCGGGACACCTGGACTCGGAATAGTAAAGACAGACGAACAAAGCGAATGGATCGCTGAAGAACAACAGGCAGATATCGAACAGGAGTAGGCATGCTCATGTACCTTATCAAGCATTCAGGCCAGAAATCTCGAACGGTACGAGAGCTAGCTAAGTCTTGGGATGCGCAACGCAGCAGCGTACAAGAAATGCTACGCTGTGTAAAGACGTGTTGGACTCAAGGAACCGTGGACTTTGTGAGACCAGAGAAGAACGAAGGACCTTGGAAATTGGAAGTATTCTCGGATTCGATTGGGCCGGAGACAAGACAACAGAAGATCAGTCACGTCAATGATGATTTTTCTCGAAGGTACTCATTCACTGGAGGTCCAAGCTACAGAAGTTCGTAGCATTGTCGAGTTCCGAAGCTGAGTTTACGCGTGTGGCGAAGCAGTACGAGAAGTCCCGTTCATCGCGCAGATTCTAAGTTCCTACAGATCAACTGGAACTACCTGTGCAAGTAAGATCGATAACGTAGGTGCTATCTTTATGTAGAGAACAAGACAAGTGCAATTCGAACAAGGCATATGGATACAGGTGGCACTACGTGAACCAAATGCAGCAGGACGCCTAGTGAAGATTGATTTGTTCGCTGGAAGACAACGTGAGCGACATTGAACCAAGAATGTCAACGTCGAGACCCTCGACAGACATGCACCGAAACTAACGGAGACAAGGAGCAATTGGTTTGAGTTGGTAAGAAGGCGCTGCCATCATCGCGAAAAAGGAAGGGTGTAGAAAGGTATTTCGTATGACGGACAGACGACTCGGGATCCGCAATCACGGTTCGTGATTGGGGATGTGTGACTCAATCAGATGGTTATCCGATCATCATCAAATGGCCAGGTGTACGAGGAAGAGGAAATGGTCGTCTAGATGATGAAACTACAAAGGTTAGGAAGTTAGGTCGAGAGATGAATGCAAGAGCGACGGGATGGAGCAAATGAATGGACGGATGAAGGTCCATAGGTTTAGTAAAGTGGGAAAGCCCTCCAGGCCAACCATGCACTTCAGAAGATAGATCGACGAGATTCTATCTGTAGATGAAACTGCGAGAAGCAGAGGATCGAAAGATCCTGGTATATGTATGCATATCGGAGCTCAGTTGTAGAGCTCACAATCTGAACGAGAGAGAAAGAGAAAACGAAACGAATAGCCAGTCTACTAGACAGTAGAGCTGGAAGGATATTGATTAAACTTAGAGAAATTGTGCGTTCAAGTTCACACCTTTTCAACAGAAGCCCTGCAAAAATAAATCATTAGAGCTAAAGCTAAGCGGTCTGAGTTTGGTCGCGTGAGAAAGTACAGCCGTAACCGTCATCACAGGCGCATTGGTCGGCTGCGGCCAGCACCACAACCAAGCATCAACCAAAGCGACAGCTGGCAATATCCATCATTGTCTCGGTTGATCGTCCGATTCGATTCGATTCAAACCTTCTTCTGGGCGTCGGATACCGCATAGACATAAGCAAACCATCCATAGAAAGAGCAAACCATCCGCAGACTAGTGGCCAAGCGAGATATTGGTTGAACACGCAGATACCCTCTGCCGTGACCATTGTACAAATCTGGATCGAGTGAGAAACCAATCCATAGATACTTCTAGACCCTTCCTCTTCTTTGTCGGATTGAGAAAGAATAGTAGACTAGACAGAATGGGAAGTATGCGGACAATGACCAACGCTTTGAATATCCTGGCGTCGTTGCTTTACTTTTTGTTGGGTATCCAGGCCATCCGAGGCCAAGACACGACAGGATGGTCCGCGGGAAAATTTCGTCAACAGGGCGAACAAGCCATGCTGGATGGAGATTATTCCCTCGCAGTGACTTATTTGAATCAGGCCCTTCAGCTAGAACCTAAAAATGCGGGTACCTACATGAAACTCTATCGAGTTCATCAACGCAAGAAACAATACGCTGAAGCACTGGATGACTTGACCAAGGCATTATCCATTGACCCCATGAACAAGGATTATACCAAGAAGAAAATTAAACTTCTCATTTCCCTGGGACAGTGCAGGGAGGCGGCTGCTTTTGTCAATGAGAGCCATATCGAAGTTGATGCAACCCAAGCACAAGAGGCGGAACAATGCGCCCTGGAAATTGATCAGGCAGAACATGCTTATTTCACGGAACGATATGAAGATGCGGCAGATCTTTTCCAAAGAGCATTGCTCCATGTAGATCTGCAGGGCTCGGACTTGCTGTGGATGAAAGCACAGAGTTTATTCCATACAGGAGAGTTTTATGGGGTCATTTCCGACACGGGCAAAATACTCAAACAGCATTCCAATCATCTAGATGCATATGAGTTGCGTGGAAAAGCCTACTTTCGGCTAGGAGAACACGAACAAGCCATTCTGCACTTTCGAGAAGCACTCAAATCGGATCCAGAGCACAAGGGATGCAAACAGGGACACAAGTTGGTCAAGAAATTTGAAAAATTGAGAAAGAAGGGGGAAACCGCTTTTGAGGGTGGAAAATACAAGGAGGCCATTGATTATTGGTGGGAGGCCATCAACATTGATACCTCTCATATTGCATTCTTCCTTCCAACTTTGCTGAAAGTAGTCCAGGCTCACACTAAACTGGGAGAACACGCCAAAGCTATTGAAGAGTGCCAAAAGCATGTCAATTATCAGGAAACTGTGGAAGGATTATGGGCTCTAGGAGACGCGCAGACGGCAGGAGAGAAGTTCGAGGAAGCAATTCGATCCTTTAGAAGGGCGGAGGAGATTGCAACCGAAGAAGACAAGAGACGGGCACAAGAAAAAATCAGAGAGGGAGAAACCGCTCTGAAGCAGTCCAAGGAGAAGAACTATTACAAGATTTTAGGCATCCCACGAACGGCGAGCAAAAAAGAGATCAAGAAAGCCTACAGAGAACTGGCCTTGAAGTGTAAGTTGATTTTCGGAGCGAGTTTTTTGTGTGCCACATCTGTCTTCTTACTCTGACTGTCTCCTACACTTTGGCTACCATTTCCTTGTTTAATTCCGGACAAACAACACGACAACTTGTGCCTGTGCATCTTGAAACTTTCCTCCTTGCAGGGCACCCTGATAAGAATGCCGACAACAAGGAGGAATCGGAGAAGATGTTCCAAGATATCAGTGAAGCCTATGAGGTTCTCAGTGATGAAGAGTTGAAGGGAAAATACGACCGTGGAGAGCCCGTTTTCGAGAACCAGGGTGGTGGACGCCCTCACACGAACCCCAATCAATTCTTTAGGCAACACTTTAACCAAGGAGGTGGTCACGGTCGACCTGGTGGGGGTAACTTTCATGTTCGGTTCGGTTAAGCTGCGCCTGGTGCAAGATGACAAAGGAACTTGGAGAAACCCCACCAGTCTCGCTTTCTTTGCTAGAGAGCATGTATACAAATCACAACCAAACCTACTCTGTTAGATTAATCTAGAGCCCTTTGCTGAATTTCGTGCCTCATGTGCATGACATTGTCTGCCATCTCATCTGCGATTGCCATGACGGAATGTCAACAAGATGCACGGAGCCACAACCGCTGCCCCACTTTAGTTTTGCTTATCAAGCTGCACTGTCAACTCTTTTATGCCAACGCGCTCCCACCATATGCTCGCGTATCCATTTGCAGCAACGAGGTGATGTGAGAGCAAACCAGCATCAAACATTCCACTTTGAGATTGGAGGTTAGCCTATCTTCCGCTCGGCGGAGGCACGCGCCAAAGGTTGTAGCGAATCACAGGAGTTTGATGCATTCCCTGGACCCCATTATGTTAATCTCTCGAATCTAGAATCGCGTTCCGGGGCAGTCCTGGACGAATTTTGGATGGCTGATTCTATGGAACAGAAAATGTCTATCTAGAATGTTCCTTTCTCTCTTCTTTTTTAGTATGCTCAGCTTGATGAGTGCGGACGTTGCTGAGCTGCCTGGCGTCATTGGTGTCATGGAATAGCACACTGTCCTCCGAGAGCCGCAAGAACGGTTACCGGATCCAGCTGTGCATATGTGTGAATGAATCGTCCAGCCATGGTGGTTGGCCCCTATTTTGAGAAGTCGATTGTCAACAAGCCCTTCAGCCACTACAAGTACTACTAGTGCTAGTGAAAGACGTCCGGTCTCTGTGCTTTCCCTCACTGCAATGCAAGATAGATCCTTGACATCTAGACTGGTAGGTCTAGCTGGCTAGCTACCAGTACATAGTAGCGGTACCGTCCATGCAGCTAGTAGAACTCAAACGACGAAGCCAGGTATTGGACCCGCGAAACTGGATTCCCACAGCTCTGCTGGCACGGCATTGTTGCTTGGGGCGAACACGGAGGGCTGGCTCTTGTTTTTTCGTCCTACTTGAGCTTCAAAAGAAGTCTCAAAATACAAATATTAGCTTCAATTTTGGCATAGGTTCTATTATTATTTACCAAAATGGCATATTTGCTAAAACACCAATGCTGTGTTTCTACAAGCTAAGGACGTATTATTGGATGCCACGGCACCAATTCGCAGAGTCAAAAGCAGGGCCCGCTCTTCCACAGCTGTGGCATCGTTGTTGGCAGCTATTGGCGGCTCCGTGGACAGCCAAAGCAAAGCCAAGCCTTCGTCTTTCGTAGCTTTGGTTTGTCCATTCATTCAACGCATTTCTTCCTCATTGTTTCCGGTACCACCTACTGTATCGTAGTAATAAGTGTGTAGCACAATTTGAATAATCACACCAACACGACAACCATCATGTCGATACTCGAGCAATTGGTACAGGTATTGGGCGATTCAGAGGGAGACGGCAATCCATTGTTGTGGCGTCCCCATATCCCCAATAGTATTGATTCAAAACCATTGGCTACTTCTCCCTCGGAGTTGTTTTGGGACTTTCCTTATGATCGTCTGCCAGAAAATCAGGTTATCGCCTTCTTTATGAGGCCGGAAACCATGTTTGGATTGGCCCTCTTCTACCTCGTCTCCAAGGAACCTCTGCGATGGTTCAGAGACGCCATCTGCTTCAACCCCAAGAGCGAGACATTCACAAACTTTGTGGCGCTACACAACCTGGCTCTTGCGGTTTTCTCGGCTGTTACTGTGTGGAATTCATGGGGTGTGGTCTTTGCTCATTTGCTAGCACAGGGATGGATCCCGACCTACTGTGATCTGGAATGGACCAGTTGGAATAGTGGAATCGGTGCCTGGACTACCATCTTTTACATCAGCAAGTACTACGAATTCTTTGACACATGGATCCTCGTTCTCAAGGGAAAGAAGCCGTCATTTTTGCAGGTATACCACCACACAGGTATTGTCTTCTGCATGTGGGGAGGCACAGTGAGCCAATCCGCCTGGTTGCTTTTCATTGTTCTTCTGAACAGTATCATCCACACTTTCATGTACACATACTTCTTCATCAAGACTCTCTACCCCAATATTGAGATCAAATCAGCAAAGCATCTAACCATGGCACAAATTGGGCAGCTAGCCATTGGAATCTCATTCTCCTTTGGCTATGTGGCTCTGGGGGATTCCTGTTCCACTCCTGCGTCTCGGTTGACGATTCTCTTCATGCAAATCTACGGATTCAGCTTGGTGGCGCTCTTTGTCGCGTTTGCTAACAGGAAATACAAGAAGAAGACGGCCTAAGCGACTACAAGAAACGTTTTGGTAATGGAACGGTGTTGCAAAAGTGTTACGGTTACTTGCTGGATGGTTAATGGATGTGATAATTGTTTTCCCTGCACAAAGTGAATCAGCAAGGCACTAATAGTACTACAAACAGACTGTGGGACCTGTCGAACTCTGCTAGAAGGTTATGTATGTTAAGGACAAACTTTAGCTCTTATCCTGGAATATAGAACCTGACTTTATGGAAAAGTTGTTCGCAACGGCGGCCTCTAGTAGGATTACGGCCAAAATATAGTTAGTTTCCCACGGACAAACAAACCCTTTGGCATCTCCATGGAATATCAGACCTACCGTAGTATCGCTCACGATTTTACAATAATTATTGGAGGAAACACCTCAATTTTCTTGGTGCACCTCACCCAACCGAAGTAGGTGTCAAGGTTGACACCTTACCGGCAGGTATTCTGAATGTGTCTAACGGTGCCTTGAACAGGCAAAGATAATTGCGCTTATCTAGAGCCGGCAAACCACGGCTGGGTTGGCCTACACATTAGCTTGCTAGCTCATCAGATAGATGAACAGGCATCCGCAGCAGACCTTAGTACTGTATCCAGGTCCTGGCCCGAGCGGTGGCGTGGGTGGGATGAAATTGAATGTGTACTAAAATTCTGATTCCAAAGAGTGACAGTCACGAATCCCTGGTCTGCCTAAACTTGAGTCCCACGCAGGAGGAGAAAAGAAGGAGGGGGGGAGGAGGCCAGACCTATAGAGACGAACGCTTCCCTTTGCCTCGTCCCCCTAGTCCTTCCCTATAGTCTTCGATGTCTCTGGGACGTACTGTAATTAACATCAAAGCTCGCTAAACCCCTACTGCATTTGTACGCTTACAGATCCATTGAAATTTTTCCAGTCTTGCTTAGAAATATCTTTTTGGACTTATAATCGCCTAACGCTATCCCTGGAAACTTTCGCATGGACTAACCCTCACCCAATTCCTCTGTACATGGCGCGCGGAAACTCAAATCGAAAAGTGCCATTGCCACGATGGCGCTGTTGTTGTTGTTGTTGTTGTTGTTGTTGTTGTTGTTGTTGTCTACTGAGTCTTTCGGTAATAGTCATTGAGATAGGTTTCTCATGACCGAACTATCATACTAGTGTCGATGGTGAAACATCGCGTCTAGATAATTTAGGCTGGCTGTGGAGAGATTCATCCCGCTACTGGGAGATAAAGTGCTAGACGAAGCAGTCAAATCAGTTTCTCCATTGCACAACTAAACAACAACAACAACAACAACAACAACAACAAAAAACAACAACAACAAACAACAACAACAACAACCAAACACAACAACAACAACAACACAACAACAACAACAACAACAACAACAACAACAACAACAACAACAACAACAACAACACAACAACAACAACAACAACACAACAACAACAACAACAACATGACCAAGTAGATCAACAA